TTCCATTTGCTGTTTGGCTGCAGGAGAGAAATCTTTGGCATGGCCCAGTGATCTGTAAATTCAGAAGTGCTGCACTATGCACCACAGACCACACAATATGGTATAGACATGTCAATAAACTGTTTCCCTGACTTGAATTTAGGTCTGTTTTAATACTGTTGAAAGAAACATTAAAAGTGTATCAAAAAGCAAAAATGCAATTATTTATAGAATGGACATGCTGATTTATAAATTACTGTCAATCCAGAAATAACTAGATAAAATATCCTACCTCTCTAATAGCCTAACTTCCCTACTGCAACACACTTTATCTTGTTTATTTTCAGTGCCTGAAGATAGCACTGTTCTGTTGCTTTTTAATGATCATTCTATGCTACACGTTTGCTGGGCGCAACATAAAACCAGATTAAGTTCTATGAGTTTCTACAAGCATAACTCAATATCTGAATTTTTATTAGGGCGCTGTGTTTATTCATTTACCTAGGAGAGAAGTCCAACTCAGTACCAGCAGTTAGCACAAGACATAGCAACAAGTTAGGTCTGTAACATATATCCACAGGAGCAAATCCCACAGTTTCAGACATGCAATCCAAACATGAGCTCTGGTTTGCATACGTTACGATGTTTTCACTGTAAATTTTGCATAAGGAATCTCATTACTTCTTTCTTTGTCCCATACCTGCACTACATCACCAATGAAATACCAGCAACACATTTTCCTAGAGCAGGATATCGTGGAATAATGAGCAAGCACTGAATTTATAAAAGGTGTGAAAACCATTCCTGTTCTTACTACTTCATCAGAGGCAAGAGTAAGCTAATAAACAAAGAAGGAAAATTATTCAAGTATTCAGTGTTTTATTTCCTGCCCAAATGTGAGTGTATAAATATAGGTTTGTTTATGGTCTTTTTCCATCTACAGTGAACTCACAACTGTTATTGAAAAACATTGTCAAGGAGTTATTCTAGTGTGGCAGCAATCAGATGCATCAGGTAAGGGAGGAACATTGGAAAAAAGGACAGATGTGTCATCTCAGCACAGCCCATTTAGGAACATAGCACCTATGTTATGCCTAAAATGATTAAGTGACATCTCTATCATCTGTACCGAAAACATGGATTTCCTCCACTGGCTTTCACAACAAATTTAAAATACATTGCTTCAGTGTCAAACTGCCTCTGGAACACTTCTGTACTGACAAAATTGTCCTAGGCACTACAATCAAGATCAAAAATTGTAACTTACAAACTTAACATCTACATCACAACCATAAATCAGTGTTGTTGCTTCCATAAAACTGGTAAGAATCTCAAGCACTCTCCAAAAGCAGTAAAATACTCCCTGACCTTCAGACACTACCCTATTTGCTCTTGCAAAAACACTTGCATGTCTTATCTTCTTAACCTAAAAAGGACTTTTCTACAGTGAGGATATACTGTGAGATAGAATTTATGGGGAATCGGCTACAAATTACATCCTATGAAGAAAGAAGTTATTTGAAAAGTGTCTTTCAAGAACCTCTTTTCAGACACTTGGAAAGAAAATGGAGAAAGTGAAGCTGAATACTTGACAACAGACTTGAATATTGCAATTTCTCCCTTCACAGGAAGTATTCCCACCTTTTCACAACAAAGCCACCAAAATACCATATTCCTACTGTTATATATCCTAATTTAAACTTCTATGAAAGTCTACTTAATAAACGAAATGCTACCAAAATACTAAATGCTCTCATGAAAACACACATAACTACACATTAATTAGCCCACTACTACTGGCTATCTTTATTTTCCCTCAGATTATCTTGTTGATATCTAATTAAAAGTCAGAGAAGCTCAGCTGGTATTTAACTTTGAAGTCTATTGCCTGTATTTTGCACTTGAAGGATCTGCATGCCCAGTTGTTTTTCTACATTTTCCTGCTTATACAATAAAAAGTTATCTTTATCTACAAATTCTCTCTTAATTATGTCTGAAGAGCAGCTCAGTTATAACCCTGAAATAAGGATCCCTTACCTCTCAAGCCAGTAGGCTTCCAGGTCACAAAGTTGCTGCTGATAGTTTTATATTCACATAAACCAAACCGAGAGGAACCATCAAAGATAGAAAAACATTTGTAATGTCTGTTTGACTCTTTGCCAACAGAGTATTTTTGTTCTATTCTTTTGTAAATTATTCTATAATTCTTCAATTTGTAACATTTTAATTTCTTTTTTTATTCATTCTGATTAAATACACTACAATAGTTTTCTCATCTCACTAGTAAGTGGTATGTTCATTAGCACCTTAATCTATACATACATTTAAGCTACAAATATTTGTTACTTGTTTCATGCCATGTTTGATTCTCACTAACTTACTCTAATTGAAAGCTAAAAAGGCAGAATATCTATTTGGTATTGAAAATTCTAGCATAAATAGAAAGCTGATCTCATGTGTAACAGTTCTTTTTGTAATCATTCTGTTTTGCTATCAGTAGTTATCAACAACATAGATAATATGTTATATTATATATTATCCATATATTAAATTGAAAGCAGATGTACTAAAAAATTTCAGACAGATGTGCAAAAATATATTTCATGTATTTTATTCAGCAAAACATATTACATAGATAAACATGCAGTCATTTCATAATCTGAACGGTTAAACACCTGTTTGTATTAACTCTAATGCCATTATTTTGTAATGATACTAGAAGACCTATGTCTTTCTTTGAAATTGTAGTGGAATGAAAGTCACATTTGTAGCTCTCATTTCTTCTTCAACAGACCTATTACTGAAATGTAATGAATCTCCAACTGCTTAGGCTCAAAGAGGATTTTCCCATTCTACATGTAACCCATTACTAAAGATAAAAGGAAAACTTGCACCCTTGGTTGCATTTGCAGGACCCTAGTGCATTTGCTGGGGTTTCTACAGTCTTCCTAGCACTTGTTTCTGCTATACTTACTTCCAGCGCAAAACTTCAGGGGTTCCTCCTTGCTTCCTTTCCTACACATTCTGTATTGTGAAACAGGCTGTGTGACAGAAGGAAAAATAACTACATAACCTGTTATTTCTCTTCTGGGCCACATGGTCTGGTAGATTTTAGGAGAGACCCTTCCTTTCGTATCTATCAGTGCTGTTATCAGTGTGAAATTGGACTTCAGCAGAGTAAATGACCCAAGAATTTACAGGCCCTTGTGGTATGGTGTTCAGAAGCAGGAACATCACAAGCCAGCAATTTTAAGGCAACATCTAAGATGAATAATGCTGTTCTTCCAACATGCAACATATCCTGAAGTTGCTAACCTACAGATTTGTGCATGAAGTATGTATGAGTTAAGTTTTTGTTCTGCTTACCAACAACATGAAGTTAAAAATATTTTTAACTGTTACTATGTCTTAGAGAAGTACCCAAAAACAAAGTTAGCCTTAAGAGTACTCACTTAAGAGTCCTGCCAGTACACATTCCAAAGGGTATCTTATATATGATGACAAACCTCTATTTTAAATAAAGGTATAATATACCCTGGATACATTATATTAAAACAGGTGGTCTCCAAAACTAATGGTACAGTTAAACTTACAGGCTTTAAGAAAGAGAATCAGGCTGTTGTTAACTCTGCTCTTCCAGGAAAAAAAGGAAGTCATCAATAGGCTCTCCCATTTCTACCTCTGTCCCTGGATGAAAGCTATACAGCATATCATTTTTGTGCTATTAATGGTAAAAGATGGGTCGTTGCTGGAGGAGTTAATTACCAACTGAGAAAAGGTGATACCTGTAGCACAGATAAGGGTGATTAATTCAGTTACAAACTGAACTCATTTCCCTGTGCCAAGACACTTACTGTGTTGAGAATATGAGTTTGACAGAAAGCAAACACATAGGAATTCACATATAGAAAATGTAAAGGTTGTTCCTTCATCTCACAGTATTCCAGTCAGCTTATTATATCCAGATTTTCCTTTCTTCAAAGAAAAGAAAACATTAGCTCACTACCAAGTTAACGGCAAACAGTAAGCCACAGAGATAGTAGAATATAACATTCACATCTTATTATTTCATATATAAACCTTTACTTTAAAGTGTTATCTAAAATAACATACATGGTTACCAGACCAAATAGCCCATGTAAACTATGCTGAAAATATCATCTTTACTTACAGGAACCCAATTAAAATTAACTAAGGACAAAGATGCCCCTCAGACACACAAAGCAAGCATTGGCCACTACTTCTGGTAGAGGTGGGAAACAGCTTGCAAACCATCACTCTCTGATTAGGTGTGATGTCTTGTTACCTATCCCACCCTGCAGGCTTTACAATTACATGCCACCCTTTCTTCAAATGAGCTCTAAAATTGCTCTTCCGGCCCTTGGTGGTGTTCTGGGAATACATTGTGGAATTTAGGGAAAAAAAAGCCAAAACCAAACCAAAAACAAAACCAAACAACTTAGACATATAAGCGTTATCATCATCTTCTAGCACTGCTGGTAATCGCAATTACAAGAAATAAGCAAAGAGAAAATCAGGAATATATGACATTAGTTTATAGGCACTTCTATAACCATGTAATATGCTTCATAGTGAATTTACTGCATTCCAGTATCTGCTTTAAAGAAAACCAGCTGGCTTGGGTTATATAAAAATGCTACCTTTGAGACCCAAGAAATCCCACACTGCTTTACTGAGCATGAATTAGATACTGGAAGAATAATTGCTTGCAAACAGAGAATCTGGTATGTGCTCAGAAACAGTTCACACAAAGCCCTAGTATTAGACTTGTTATTTTGTGATTTAATGAAAACGCTCTGCTTCGAAAGAAATAGCTAATCATATAATTACCTTAGACTGTATGCCATAGGCCTTGAGCAGTCAAGCTCCCAGAAAAATCATTGAGTAAGACAATATACTGTTTTTATGACTATACATTGTATTTATCACAAAACATGGCCAATATTCACACTGAGATTGCAAAATTATTACATGGTTACCCGTGCTCTATAAAGCAGATCACAAAACTGTTCTGCAGTATTAGATCTTATTAGCATGTTACTTTTATTATTAATCATCATTACCTATCACCAAAATATTAGTACTTCAGTGTAAACACTGCAAAACATATACATGATTTAACAGATTAAATATTGACAAACTGTAACACTTTGGATCTGTTATCTATTCACAAAATCTAGAAATAAGGCATATGGTCAGCAGATTAGGAGAGTTTAAATAAACAGCCCAAATGCTTTGCTTTCCTCCCACACACCTTAACTCTGTCAGTTATGCTGCTGGATTCCTCATAGCAAATCTCGTATCTTGAGGAGGTCATACCTGAGGAAGGCTTTTATAGCTGGCTGAAACATCATTCTTTTACTTTTTTTCACTTTCCTATGTACAAAGGAAACAAACAGTGAATAGCTAGAGGGCTTAGTCTTTTTAAAAATCTTGACAGGGTTTTCTGCTAGGAATACAACTGTGTGGCCTGAGAGACTTCATTTTTTCATGCTCACACATTTATACACAACTGACACTTTATTTCACTCAGAGGATCTTGACATAAAATTGTAGAACTGATCGCGTCTGTGATAGAACCTTGACAGTTCTCCACACAGCCCTGTCAAAACTTCCTATCAGTAGCTGTAAACAGAATTAGCAGGGTGGCCACTTAGCAACCAAATGCTTCTGCTTTTGCAATCTTACAGCATGGCGCCGTCTCCTTTTAGGCTGAATGTACTCCTGTCCATATGATGGCCACTGAAAATCTTGGGGAGGCATTTTGCTATTCTGGCTCTCCACCTCTTCAGAATCAGAGTCTTCTTGTTGCACTGAAGGAAAATGTCTATCTGGATAAACCTCCTTTAGTTTGCCCTCAAAGAATACATTTAGGCGTCGTCCAGCCTCAGCAACCTCTGAATCTGGCTGCAAGAGAACGAATAACCATTCAGTGTTACCACATACAGAAATCATCAAGGATCAACACCAAATAACTAACCTACTGTAATGTCTTGCCTTTGTTGTGTCTGCTACATCTCCATTAGCCTCCTGTGCGCTTTCTATAGCCCATTAGTCCCACTGCGTTTACAATGTAAGCAAAAACTAGATGCTGCTATTAAGGAACACATTTCTGCTCCTCTAAGAAGAAAAGAGATGTGCAGTGAACTAGAAAAAATAGCAGTCATCATTGCATAGAAATTTCTGTGCATCTGAATTTTCCCTAGCTATTTTCCTGCTGTGGCTGGCTTTTCACAGTAAATGCAGCATCATTCCAGATAGTTGTTTGCTAAGATGTCCCTCTCTAATTTTAGATCCATATGTATCTCAGGTTCTCAGGTCCATATGTATCTCCACTTCTATCATTAAAAACAAAGAGTTAGATCATTTCCAAAGAATAAAACTGATTAATACTTCTGTTTATCCTAAGCCCATATTTGATGTCAATGGAACCAATAATTACAACACCATGACAGCTTGAAAGAGCAACCCTCTGGTTTATGTGCCCCCCCCACCATGCATGTTAGAAACCTACATAATTGAACTTTGCACAGTTCCAAAACATGAGACGCACGTCAGTCACAAGTTCCTCAGGTGCAGAATAGTGGGACTTGTCCTTTTTTTGCAGCTTGTTTCGTATGACTGACAAATCCATTGGCCTTTTTATGATCTGGTAATAATGCCGAGCCTGCAATGGGAATAAAACACAGTTATGTGACCTTTTTAATTAAAACATTTCCACTCCAGTCACTCCTATACACGTTTGGATGAAGTCACTGCAGAGGATTCCTTCCATCAAGGAAGAGAGCTCTAGTTTTTTGGTGCCTGTACTTGCACATCATCTTCCTGGGTGCTTTTTGTTTTGATTAAAAATATATTTGCTTGCAAGATTGATCTTGAATATAGCACACTTCAGTGACTACTCTATTTAACTATTCTATGATTCTATGAATATAGCACACTTCAGTGACTACCCTACTTGCATTTTCTAAAGTTTACCCCCAGATAAAAATGTATAAATTTAACCATAGTCAATAATAAATGTATCATTGACAATTAGCTAACATTTCCCCTAAGCAGTTATAAAAATAATGTGTTGAGATACTGGCAGCTGATACGGTGGGAAGTAGTATGCCAAGAGTGATTAAAAATATGCTACTACACACTCTTTTTAAAGTTCAATGATAGTCTTCTTCAATGGGCACTAGCTACCAGGATATCCCACTCCTTAAATATTTCTGTGTTAAAACCTACTTTTTAGGTAAAGTGTTCCATAATTTCATTGCAAGCTATATTAGGTGGAATGGTTTTTATGTTGTTATTTGGGCTTTTCCTTCACATAAACCTTTTTTCCCCCTCTCATTTTCCTCCTTCAACTTGTTTCACATTGTGCTCTATTATTACAATAGTATGAATCTACACTTTCCTTAAAATAGCCAGTTAATATTGTAAATGTTGAGTACATGGATGAAACAGCAGTCTTCCCCTGAATACAATCACATTACCAACTTTGTGCAAAGTACCAGAAAAAAGAGAGTCCAGATTTATTTCTAAAGCAGACCTTTCTTACGACAGTGCAACATTCTCCATGTGTGCAGCAAGTCAACTTCCTTAATCAAAGAGGAAGCCCTCATATACCTTTAGTATATATGATACCTACCAGCATCTTAAATTGGCACACAAACGGCCTGAGAACACTGGCCAGCATTTACTTGCCTCTGACCTGGCATCTTCAAAGCACTTGCAAGAGAGAAACACCTACCCTTCCCTAGGAATCAATACTGTTCAGAAAAAAAAGTTAATTAATATCTTTCAAGAAGACAAAGGAGAATCTTGAGAGGTGTGCCAGAACATCTTTTGGATTCCTTCTGACCCATCTTTGTGCGGTACTTACCAGGGGGCTGACAGGTTCATGGAATGGGAGGCTCATACTACTGCAGAACAGAGAAAGCACCAGCTTTTCACACTTCTGTAAAAGCCAAATTTGAAATGCTTTTTAATTCAAATCAAGCGAGTTTCATTCTTGCCCTTAGTTAATCAATCATTATAACAAGAAGGGGAGTTTTTCTGCCATCTGTACATTTCTGATGCAAAATGGCACACTTCATTCTGACCTGCAGGACATTTTGTCTCATGGCATTTTTATGGTTTTTAAAGTGAGGATAGTCAAGAAATGCCAGAAATTAAATATGTAAAATTTTTTTTTTGCATGTAAATATCCTAGAAACTCTTGGGAATTCAGCGCTATCGCTATTTCCTTCCTGCACTCCAGAGCTGTCCCTTGGCTCTTGACTAGAAGAACAGCAGCAACAGTGTGGGAACAGTTACATAGAAAATGTTTCACACTGTTCATATCCATTTATACAAATGGATATTAAATTATGTAGTTGGTAGTAATATATGAAAACAGTTCCATTTAACCATTGTTAGCTTGTAAAATACTTACACTTAATTCTTTCCACTAATGAAAAAAAAAAACAAAAAAAACCAAAAAAAGGAGGCACTGCCAATACATAAGCCATGCCTGCTCACAAGCAATGCAATTTCTAATCTACTCCATTTTCTAAATAGAACCTCACTAATCAAGATCCAAATCCCAACTATTCCTGGCCAGTTGTACCCAATCCAATAGAAATAGGGAACACAACAATGTCAAGAATTTATGTCCAGCTCTTTTTGGACAGAGTAGCTTAGATCTGGAAACAGCATGGATGAATTTGAGTAGTGCTGTGGCTGTGCTCATAGGCCTTTCCAAGGAGCCCAAGTGCTCTAAGAACCACTGCTGCTGTATTTACGTATGGTGTTCAGACTAGACCAGTGCCTTATTCTAAGCTTCATTTGTGCTCAACATCTGCTTCCCTCTCCAGCTGTCAACAGCATACACAGGACCTTTGTTTGGAACTTGTGGCTTCCAAGAACAAAGTTGACTTTAAGAAAGGCAATTTTTCATGGGAGGTTCTGTAGAGGAAACTGGTAATAGGGATGTAAAGAGATGAGTTTTTATATAGACTGAGTTACCAAGGCCTAAATGTCATCTTCAAGGGGATTAATGGTACTTATGAAGACCATATGAAGATTTCAATCCAACTGGAAGTCAAAAAGTGTCTACATCACAAAATGTCATTGCAACTGGCCTAAGCAGATGTCTGAGAAGATGCAGTGGCAGAAAGCCAAGCAAAGGTGACTCAAGGAAGCTTGCTCTGCTTCTGGGTGTGACTTCCCTGTTCAAAGGAGAAAGGAATTCCAGATCTGCTTGCTTCATCTTTCTGTAACATGTCATTCATTTTAAAATTGAACAACAATGTCTAGGTAGAAGAGAGTGATATAGCTGAATACTAACAATGCGACTGTTGTATTTACTACCCTCTGAAACATTCAAGTAGCAACCAAGTCAAAACAGTCATCTTTGCAATGAAGAGGCAAAGCCTCCTGCTGAGATGCTATGTCCTTTTCTAAATACTACAATATATAGTTATTCCCACCTTCTGGTCATAGCCATCAAGGCCATATTGTGTATTATTGCTGTGGCTGTAGCGAGTGTTTTCACAGTCATATTCTACCTCCGGCTTCATTGGATTACGGCAAAGCGTGCACACCCATTCTCCCCTGCAAAACAAGGAAACAAAAACTTCTGTCAAATTTTGTCAGCAACCTTCTCAAAAACAAACCTCAGGAATCACAGTTTTTGCAAACAAGTCTCATCCTTAACTAGCATTACAATAGCAGGCAATCTGAAACCTATTGTACCAGATGTTCATCAAGAGATTTGAATCTGTTTAGAAGTGTAAAAATTTCAGATTCTACTCATTGCACTTTTTCTGACAAAAAGACAAAATGGTGTTTGAAATCATGTACCAGCAGTGTGCACAGCTGCATTGATTCAAGTTCTGGGTTTTTTGAAAAATATAAAGAAAAAATAGCCAACAGTTGGTTCATCAAACAAAATCAGATACATATGAAAAATTATATATTTATTATATATATTTATCAATTGATATTGATAACTATAATGATATATTGATATCAATATAATGTATATTGATATTATAATTAACATATTTATCTAAGAAATCAACATTATCAGAAAAGGTCATAATGAGTGATAGTACACAGGTTCCCAAACAAAACAAGAGTAAGTATCCATGAGCATAAGTGTCCTTCCTAGAAGATCCATTTTCAGAAACCTCTTGAAGGTTTCTGAACTTCATGAATGCAGCAATGCAATTTCTGCAGTATTAGGGCCTGAATAGCTGCAGGTGAAGGTATATTAAAGAACTATGAATACAGAACTTTAGTTAAGGGGGTTAATCTACTTCATTGGAATTTAGCTTTGTCTAGGAAGTTTATTTTAAAAGAAAAACTTGGTTTTCATATTGTTTTGAAACTAGTGTTTTAGTAATGACTTAGCTGTTAGAGAAAAGAGATGGAAATTCCTGCTTTTTTAATAGAAAGAAAAAACAGGCTCTCCAAACTGATCTTTTACAACATATTTTTCTCAGGTTAGGCTTGGCACGAATGAAGTAGTCTTTGGTCCCACCTGGTAACAATTTCTAACAGAATTCAGAATTATACACCACCAGTAACACAAATTATTCAGCCTCATTTTTACAGTTTGGTATGTGGACATGTACCTAATTCTACCTCTATGCTGCATACAATTCATCTGTGATAAGTTGCCAGGGAATGTATGTCTTAGGGAAACCAATGCCCTAAGCATTTTTCCACAAAATTCCAAATAACCCTAAATTTCCCATAAAACTGGTTAGGAAACCAAATATGAACTCACTGATGGCTCTTTCCTTGCACTAGTCACTGTTCTTGCAGAGAAGAGATGAAGTCTACACCACAGACTTTACACATGCATTAGGTTTTTATTTTTCTCCAAAAAGTTGTGAGAATGTTTTAAAGCTCAGGTCTGCCATCTCTTTTGTTGTAATGGCCAGCAAACTGCAGAAAGGGCATACATGGCTGGAAACACTTCTTGTTAGTAATTCGTCTAGTTCTTAGTAAGATAATTCTTTCCTTTGCAAGAAAGGCAAGAAAGAGATGCAGTCCTTGCCGTTGTGTAAAGGTGACACATATATCCCTGAGGATATATTCTGCTCCAAGGCAGTGAGCAGAAGCTGAGCATATTAGCATAATGTCATACATACACTGGAAAGCTGAGCAGGGCTGGAACGTGGCAGGAGAGATGGAAGACCTTGGGGCAACGATCACAGCACAACAGCTCTCCTCCATTAAGACACACAGCACAGAAATCCTCATTTTCAATTGTATTGACTTCTTGAGTAATTGGAGATTTTTTTGTGGTGGAGACGCCATTGCTGAGCTTCTGGTCAACAGATGGAGTATCTACAGAAGGAGATTGTATCTGTCCTGCATCCTGGGGTATGAGAAATTTTCTGTCCTCTGAGTTCTCCTCTTTGGATTTCATTCCTTCAGGTGGACTATGTTTATTTATCTGGAAGGAAGAAAAATCTGGGATCACACAATCATAATTTTCATATATAAGCATTCAAAAACAGCAGTTATCTGCACAAAAAATGGTTTCTCTGCAGTGAACTCTACTGGAGAGGGCACTGGGGTTCAGCAGGCCCACACTCAGCTCCATGTCTGCCAGTGGCTTGCCATGTCACCTTGGTCAAGTCATTCTCTCCACATACCACAATGTAATAGCACTGAGAGAGCTGTACAGATTTTATACCACAGGTGATAGTAACAGGATACTTTACAGTCTTATTTGCAAATTTCAAAGTAAACAGCTCCAAAAAAATAAGAGTATAGTTTTTTGTTCCCACCAGAAATTCCCATTTCCTTCTTTGGAAAAAAATTCACACTCAAGATTCCAGTGAAGCAATAGAATACAAAGATTTTAAGAATCTACTATACTGTGATTTCTGGAATCTCAAATAAGCATTCAGGTCAGTTAAGCTATTTATCCTGTATTCATAACTAGGCAGTACAGCCAGGTTGTTTGCTAGAATATAAAAACACTACAGCTGTCCAATCCCAGGAACAGACTGCTCAGAAATGGAAGTATCAGGGAGCTACACAGCAAACTAAAAGCTGCATTCCTCATTACTTCAACCCATCACAGAAGTGTCTGATGGTAAAATGAATCAACATACTTAAGCGTATGATAGCTTTGAGAACCTGTGGGTATAAGCCAGTGGGATAAAGGGGAGAAAGCAGGTAAAACCTCAAGGAAATTCCACTACCTTTATAGCCATACTTGAAGATTGGGTCCCACATTCAATTATCAGAAGGAAATTGCCCTCCTGCTCATTGTTCTTTGGCTGGAGCTTAAACACTGGGAGTTCCCCCACTTCTGATGTACATATTTTTAAACGTTCCAGTCGCACATAGGGGTTTTTCTGCTCCTTAAAAGAAGGTCTACAATCAAAACGATGCATGGTTAAATTCACTCATATTCCACAAAATCCTATTCCCTACTAATTTTCAACATTTTTAAGACACTGCTATGTTGCTTTTCCTTTGTAACTGTGATTCTGGCCAAATGCTGAAAATCTGGATGTTTTTTCACATGCCAGTTCTTTAAGAAATGTGAATGCAATTGCTTTAAATTAATCATATGTGTAAACATTACTAAGTTCTGTGTTAAAATTTTGCCCTGCTCTGTATATTTTTCTTTTAATTTCAGTTTTAGTCATGCTTGATACTTTTCAGTATGGCTGGCTTCAAGCAGCAACACAGCACATCATTAACTTTCCTTTAAAATATATTATTAAGTAGTAGCTGAAAACAGAATTTTATAAAGTCGTTGAAAACATGTTAATCCTGTTCCCATTATATTTTTTAGGTTTAATTTGGGCTAAACAGTTTCTAATTGTTCATGTGAGATAAGTTGGAAAGATTTATTTATTCTGGAAAATTAAACAGAATAAGAGAAATACATAAACTCACCACTTCTTTTAAATTGTCATTTTAAAGTTTAAGAGAATACTTTACAACATTCAGAATTTTTAACTATAAGGAATCTTGCATTCTTTTAAGTTCTCTGTTACCATTAAGTATGACAAATTTTCTAAATACACACATAAAATTTCATGGCCAGTGCTTTTGTACAAAAAAAGACTCTGTTACCTGACATTCTGACTGCTTTTCATACCCATTTCAAAATGTTCCTTTTCACAGTTATTGGAATCTGGAACAGAAGATAAGAAAATGAGTAACATATTTATAATAACAGAGTCAGATTAGGGTAGAAAGTACTTCAATATTCATGTATTTTTGTCTGGTGTTTAATATGATATCATAAGTGAATTATGGAATCATTTCATCTGTATGAATAGAAAATATGTATGCTATTTTCTATTCTGGGATATAGTATTTGACTTTCTCTTTGCTTTTAAACACAGCTTCTATACTGAATACAAGGAGTCTTTCCAAAATATTTTCTCAAAATGGTTACATCCTCAGGGAATAATATATGTACACAGCCATGCCACATTCATACATATGGAACAAGATAAGTAATCCTCTTTTCTCTACAGCCTTCTCTTGAGAAAAACAGACCTACTGAGGTCTGAACTCCCGAGTTTCAAGAAGTCTCTGCAGTCTCTTGTTCCATGTTAACAAGGTTCTGGATAATTCTAGTTATTTGAAAACAGAAAGGAAGTTGTGTCTCCCATCTGGCACTGAGGAACCAAAATTACTCTGTATAATTCCTTTCTATCCTCCACCATATACATAACATATAAACATACAAACTGAAAAATATCTGTTATATAATCATGCAAGTAACTGTAGCTCTTGACTGATACTAGACACAAGAATAACAAAACAGCTTTGGAAAGATGGGATGGATAAGAGAAGAAGGCCCCAGTGGATGCCCTCATAAATACCAGTCCACTGACAAATCTCATAGTAACTCTTTCTTTTGCTAGGAATTAGTTTGGCTAGACTATACTAAAAAGAAAACAAACCAAATATCACGACTATCTGGAAACAAGTGAGTGCCAGGAAAATGTGCCTTTTAAAGAAAACCTAGCTTGGGTCAAAGGTACCTAATCCATGGCTTGAAAAAAATGCACCTCTAAGATACTCTGCTGTTATCAGCCACAAGAAACACAATAGAACCAACACTGACAAGGAAAGGTGCATTTAACATCACTTGCTAAGTGTTATTCACTTATGATTGTTGTGCAGGGGAAGGGTGGTAGCCATGGTTCTGGCAGGAATTACTAAAGGGTGAGTGCACGCTGAGCTGAGGGGCTGCTCTCATTACACACTATCAACCCAGAGAATGTCCCGGTAGTGCTGGGCTCCTAATATTAATCAACATTTCCATTGCAACTCGGCTCATGAAAAACAGTACCTATAAAATTTGTGCAAAACACCAAACTAGAGGGGTTGCAAACACTGTGGAGAATGCTTATGATTAAAAAAAATTATCTTAAAGTATCAGAGAAAAAGAATCTTCTAAATCAGTAAGACTTAATCTCTTGATTAAGTACCTAAGTATTAGGCTTATGAAGGATCACATGAAGTAATCACACAGGAAAGTAACTAATTAGGGAATAGGTCTGTAGAAGGAACTGAGTCAGCATGGACTGTTCACTACATGTGAGTTGACCACATAATGCTGCTGCTGCTGCACAAAAGTCAGATGCCATTCTGCAGCATATTGCCAGCAGTGAGGAATGTAAAACACAATGAGCTGATACCCTGGCTCTGCATGGCATCCCAGAGGCCTCATCTGTAGCACTGTGATTGCCTGTGGGCAGCACTCCTTAATTGCAGGGAGCCCAAAATAGTGCAATAGGAATGAGATGGTTTTAAAAAAATCACAGCTCTAACCTATGAGGAGAGACTGAAGCTATCAGATTTGTTTAGTCTAGGAAAGAGGAGGGGAGGAGAGGGTGTTTACACAAACCATGATTAGAAAAAAAGTGGCTGTAAGAGGGAAAATTATGAAATGTACAATTTTTACCACATCTCTTGGGGCTGAGAAAAGAAGCGTTTTGTTGTAAATTAAACTTAAATGCTTAGATTTTATATTAGAAAATAATGAGTCACTGGAGGTATATACCAGAAGCATATCGGAAGGTATTTGGCAGCACAGCACCGCTGAAGCCAGTAAGTTCTACAGAGAGGCACCAGGAAAGATAACATTGCATTTGTAACAGTTATCTCTCTCCCTGGTGCACACCACATATGGTCACTCAATTTCTTCAGATCTTCCCTCAATGCACACCTTTAAACAGCAAGAGCAGGATGGGAATTGCTCGCTCCTGATCCTTCCTTGTGAAAAGGGAGCAGCACTGAATTCAACACTCAAGTGTTTTCATCCTCTTGCACAACAGGACCGGTGCTTTACACATTGAAGATTTGGAGCATATGTTATAGTGAAATTCTGTACGTTGCAGCTGCTTTCCTTGCGTAGCGTCACAAGACCCAAACCAAATACTACAAAGCTGCTCCTCTCAGAGACACTTAAGCCTGACTGAGGCACAGATTTTTAGGGGTGCGCCCAATTCTTACAACTCACACAAATGATTGTGGCATAATTGTCACAATCTGGCATAGTACATGTAAGAGAAGACAAATACATTTCCTTGGCTCACTGAGCTAGGCCTCCTTTGTACTAATTAGTATAAGTAAAAAAATGGCACAGAGAAAGAAATATTAATTCATCTTTTAGAGAGAAAGGCAGCCAAATATTGGCATAAGTCACAGGATAACAGCTTGATCCTTCAATCCCCTGCTTGCATGAATAGTCCCATTGACTTTTCGAGTTTGCAGGAGGGAGGCTTTCCAGTGTAGCACAAGGATGCTGGCAATTTGCCCATGAAAAGAGTTAAGTAAGGTCTAATCCTCCATTAAGGCTGAAGAAACAGGCCTTGGTTGAAGGGAATGTTCCACTGTAGACAGAGCAAAGCAAAAGCACATACTGTGCAATATATCAATCTAACAGAAATTTACTATGTTATTGATGTGAAGGACTTAGCAGAAAGCACATTACATTTCAGAAGTTTGTTTTTTTTTAATTGAATTTAGACTCTTCACACCAGTTCTTCAGTATTCATAACTGCAGGGCTCATCAACAGGAGTGCTTCTACGAGAACTAATACTCCAGATACTTCATACAGACAGACTAGTTTCTGGTTCATAGGTGAAGGACATTACGAATTCAGGAAATATAATTTCCTTGGTTTTCCTCCACAGATGAGATCAATCATGCTTTTCCATTGGATTAAGTACTCTGGTAATATTTGAAGCTTGTTGGAAAAACATATTTATGTGTAAGTACACTAATAAGCATGCTGCTTTGCAATGCTTGCAATGCACAGTGTTAAGAAAGAAAGAAAGACCAAAACCCCAAATGAAATAATGAAAAGCCCGATACCTTCTTTGCTTATAAGTTCTCTCTTTCTGGCATTCATGGGCAGGAAAGAAGTGTTACTGTGCTGTTCAGAAGGAGAAGTGCAATGTTGACATTTTTTGATCGAAAGATTGATAGGTTCTTCCAGCACTTTTTGTGTAGAAAGAGTTAATTCATTAACTACATCTTGCCCAGCAGCATCCAAGTTGTTTTCTAGCGGATGATCTACAATATTGAAGTCTTCATTTTCCAGCTTCACCAAAAAAAAAAAAAAAAAAAAAAATCACATTTTATTGTCAGTTTTCTTTCTTTCCATCTTAAAAAAAAATAAATAATTTTGTAACTAGTTTTCAAATACCACAAAAGGAAAACTTTACTTACGGAAATAGCTGCCTTTGACTGACTACAAAAACATGTGCTATCAATGAAAGTGGACTCCCTTTCAGTAGAGGAGTTCAAGAGATTCCTACCTTGCACTTAGTGCTGCCCTGGAGTGCATCACCTGGTGCATGGCCAGCGGCAGCCCCAGGGCTCAGGTCACTTGGAGCTCTGCCCAAAACCAAGGTGTAACTGGGCACTGACTCTGGTGGAGTATCACAATCACAAAGGGCTCTTGGGGATGTGCAAAGAGTTTCAGCAGCTGCAGCTTGCATATGTGGATCAGCTGAGCTAGGTAACCTCACTGAAGGTAGTTCCATTTCTAAACCGCTGGAAAAGCCCACAAAGCTTAAGGATGCCAAATGCTGGGAAAAGTAAAAAGAAAAAAACAAACAATATGTTAATAAGCTTTTCAGCAGCAAAATGTTACTGTTCTTTCTATAATGGATGACATAATCCATTTCAGCTATAGGTAATGAAGCAGCTGTATCATGTGTCTATTGTAATCTTACAAAATTTCCAAAAGCTTTAGAGTTTCCACTACTAAAACTGACAATTGGAAAAGGAGACACCTGGGTTACTTTTCTGTGATATACAAAAAAGTCTTCCTTTGATCAGTCCAAAGGATCCTGATTTTTAACTTCCTACAACGAACGGGAAAAGTAGGCTTGTAGAACACGGTACTAAATCAATTCTTGATATATACCCTACTAACTACCCTTAAGTTGTTCCAGAACAAATAAGATTTAGATCAGACTTTTTATCACTTTATTCAAAAATCATCAGATTATTTTATTCAGAAGGAAGATTCAGAAGAAAAAAGATTCAGGTCTGACACAGATGAAACACTTGTTACAATTAATAATGGTGAAAAGTTTATGCTAGTTAGTGAGTCTGTTCCATTAAAACCTATGCCACTTACGCTTTAAATATCATAGCATAAATCCAGAAACAACCTACATGTGCTAATGAGGAAAGGATGTAACATGTCTAGTTTCCAAAGAAAAGGAATTTTTACCACAGTCTCTGAAATAGTTTCAGTAACATGCATTTTCTACTGTCATGATTTGCCACTGTCAAAACCACAGAAATGCTGCTATGCAAAACAAAACAAATCCACCCATATAGGTGACTTCCTTAAGCTGCCTTACATCCAGGAACGTGTGTCTGTGCTGAAATCAGTTCTCTCCTAGTGTGCATATGAAGCAAATAGAAGTAGTCTTAAGAAGTATGGATATTTGTGTCATTTGAAAACATACTTTTCCATTTATTTCATCATAGTTCATTGGTGTATCACGCTTGATAACTGACTGAATAAATCTTTTCCATTTGACTACAATACTGTAAGTAGCACTCATTGTAATATAAATCAAGATGAAAGAAATGTGTTGATTGTGTCTGAATTAGAGTTTAATTTCTTTGTTGTACTTTCTTTTCTGCTAGGGACCTGTGACTTAGAAGTGAATCTGATACAGGACCCATTTCCTAGATTTAATTAGTATTTCTCAACTGTTACTCCATTTTTGATTTTGATACCTTTGTCCATCTTAATCAAACAGTGGTAAAGACAGTAGCTTAGATTGAGCTGTCAGTTCTGCCTGTGTCAATCTTACATAATGCCAAAGAAGTCAGTGTTGAATTCCTCTGCTTCCAGTGCCTATCACCAATGCACTAAGAGAACTCTCTGCCCACAGACATTAATTTTCACCTATGGATGTTATTTAATTTCCCTTTCCTCAGTTTGCAATACACATGACGGTAGGAGTTTTGCCAAAACAGTGAGCACTTACATTCAATGAGACAAAATAGCCTCCATTTGAGACAGAAAGAGGTCAGCTCTTCTACAGTGCTAGGGAATGTTTGTGCCATCTTCCATACAGTGCTCTAGTAAGTCTGTTCTAAACAGTCCTTTCATTTAGAAGGCACCCAGAGAGTGCTGAGTCTCTGCAGCCAGGGCATTGGCCATTTTCCTCCTATTGAGTCAAATCAATGTCCCTAAATCTAAGCTGCCTGAGCTATAATAACTTCTTGGAAGGAGCTGGAACTAGTCAGCCATGCGCTTTCTACCTTACATTTAAGCTGAAAACTAGAACACAGTAAATGAGTAAACGCATTGGTGGAGGCACAGCTTTCTGTATGCTCTGTCTGATAGAGCATTCCTATGAGTGTTCATGTTTCAAACCAATTTTTAGGTCAGAAAGGAATCCAGCTTTCATGGTCATACATCCTAAGAAGTCCACAAAGATCAAAAATGTTCATTTGCTGTTATAATGTTCTTGTGACAGGTTCCTGCACATGCAGTGACAAGTGTCATCTATCAAGAACATATTTTCCTTCCCATACCATCACTCTTTTTATCACAAGCCTTTTTCAGATGACAAAATAAACATGAGAATTGTTCTTATATACAGAAAACAAGTAGAATTAATGCCTGAACAGATGGACATGATCAGCTTTGCCTTTCCCCCTTATTTCAAACCCCATTGTGAGTATTAATCAAGTCCCTGTGAGGTAGTTAAATATTTACTCTAGCCAGATTCTCAAAACCACAAAGCATCCACAAATTCCTGAGTTAACAGGAACTACCTAATGCTCCATTGGAAATGGGCATGCTGAGGCACACACGTGGTAGGTACACCACCCAAAGCTGCATAGAAAGTTAACTGAAGACCTTGTGGCTATTCACGTCTTCTAACCACACACATATTCCTTTACTTGTGTCACAAGAGTGTGCCACCATCTATTACATATTGAGACCTGACCCTGTGAAGACCCATCAGTGTGTAACTGTATACACTGCAGTCAAAATGTTAGCCCAAATAAGACAATGGTAGGCTTACTCCTGGCTTTAGTGAGACAAGTTTACTTACTGGGAGTAGTCACTGGGACAACTCTTACTGCAGAAAAAAAGTAGACACACACACACATAAAACTTTGTAGTAACAAAATTTTTTTTAAAGGTGAAATTCAACAGCATTACATGGCTATATCTTTTTAGTCTTCTAGATAGCATCAGTTTCTTCAGAGATCTTTTTAGATTATATAAGCCAATATAAAACCTTATGCTTGTTAAAAGGAAAAAAAGAATAATGAGGCCATCAAACTGCCATCTGTCTTTCCCTTGGGGCAAAAGTTAATTTTGTGGTTATTTTAATGATGAAGCAATATTATGATCTTTCAGTGCAAAATATTAAAACTCACAGTTAAGGACAGACACATTCCATTCTGATCCATGGAGCTGCTGTCGAGTGTGAAGTGAACAATGCACTGGGAACAAGGCTCATTAATAGCCTATTAATTCACTCCCTAAAATAATAATTTCTTTTGCCATTAGCAAAAATTCCTCTTTTCCCTTGAGAGTTCAGCTAGTTTTTGCAAATGGGATGCCTTTAAAGACTTTATCTCTGTTTTATAAAAGCTCTATTGTTTTTACATTGACCATTTGAAAACAACAGGCATTAATTATACTCTTGGGTAGAGGGTGGCTTCAGCTGTAGGTTAATTTGGAAAGTTTTGACATTTTAATGTACAACCTGGCACATTGAACTACATCTGTGTCATTATAAATGGAATTCTCATTGTCTCATAATTAATTTTGGTCTGATGATCCTTATATTATAATGGCAGCAGCATCACCACCCCAAAATGCCTTCTACCACAAATTTCATAGCTATGGTAGGGAAAGGTAAGAAGAAAGAACATGCAAAGTGCCTTCAGAGAACAAAAAATAAACATATTGTTCAAATATTTCTTTGATCACTGTTGCATTTAAAATGTCCAGTGTAAACATGCAGCACTAATACAGAAGAATTCTGAGAAGCAAATACTTACCTTGAAACACTGGAATTAGGATTTGTTAGGGTTGTTTTGGCAAAGTCTCAAGGCTGTTGACATTAAGTGTCACACATAAAGAAAGCCAAAACTAGGAACCGCCAATTCTCTTTGCTATAAGAGAAATAACATGCTGCAAATGGTTGCAGAGTAATGAACGGCTGCTATTAAGTGGAGCAATCCCCCTGGCAGCTCATTATGCTAGGAGGTTAAACAAATGTACTACTCCAATCCAGCTGCTTAACTCACCGCACACAGCAGCACTGATAACACACAGTCTACACGTTTCCTATTCGTATTTCCCAATTTCGGAATAGGATTTCCTTTCAGGTTTTGTGAGAAAAAGAATCCAAATCTGCCTTAACATTCTGTCTGAATAAATCGGAGGTGACTTAAAGTGGAAGGAGGAAGAGATTGTATGGAGCAAGCAGCATCATGTTTTATTTATCCTTTTTTCCAGGTCAAAGGAAAAGGTTTTGTTAAATTTCCATTCTGAGAAATGCACCTAATTGCATTAAGCATGAGTGCATTTCTGCTTAATCAGCTCAATTCTTTAAAGTCAAAAAATACTCTGATACGTTAGGAATTGCAGGACACTAAATTCCAGGCTGTTATTATTTCTTTCACCTCTAATCCCCCTAAAATTAATAGTAGTTGGAAAAAAAAACCACATTGCAACAACAAACTTGCCTCAGTTCCAAGCTTGGACTCAAATTCCTAGGGATGGATATTAAATTATTCTTACTTTTGGTCACTAAGTACTCACAACATGCTCAGTGCAATAGTAAGAAAAGTAAAACCTGTGCTGTTACACCAAACCCCTCTTCCACAAATTTCACATGCTTTTAAAGATAAATAACTAATGACTTGCCACTAAGATGGAAGAGTTGTTATTAATAAAGTTTCAGACAAATGTGTTGGGGCAAAATACTCAAGAATGCCACCTACAGCAGACTAAGTCCAACTGCTCTGATAACCCTGTAGTAACAGCAGCACTGGCACATCAGAGCCTAGAATCCATCAAGTCCAGAAGATGCTAAGAGGCTGCAACATGCACTGTCACTGTGTTAGTCTTGCATGAAATGCCACCACTGCATATAATTGGAATAAACCAGAAGCCTCTCTCAGAGTGCTCTCAAGAGTGCTCCTTGGATGACATGAAATATTTTCTAGGATTTCCCTGTTACAAGTACTTTATGATGCTTAAGGCAAACAGAGCTTTTGAACTAAGAATCTGGGACTTACTGTGAATTGAAAAGAACAATATAAAAAATAGTGTTATACCACTATACAAAGTTTCCATGTGCTTAAACCTTGCTTACTATTTCTGGTCACCCTGTCACAAAAAGGATTTATCAACAACACGAAACATAGGTGAAACAGCTGAATATATAAAGGAGCAAAGTATAGAATGGACTCTAGTAAAACAAAACCAAAACCAAACCAACAAAAAAAAAAACAAACCACAAAACACGACAAAAAAACAAAACAAAACACACTAAAGACAAGCAACTAGAGAGATGAGTAATCACTTTTCAGCTTCAAAAAGAAATGTTTGAGAGGAAATTCAATATAAACCTACAGAATATGGATATTATGAAGGCAGTGAATACAGAATGATTATTCACTGGTTTTCCTAACAGAAGAACAAGAAGGCATCCTACTGAATTATCAGGCGATAGACTGAAACCTGTGAAACCAAACCTGTGTTTGACAGACACTGGACTTTTTGGATAGAGTCCAGAGAAAGGCCACAAAGATCATCATAGGGCTGGGACACCTCTCCTATGAAGACAGGCCAAGAAAGCTGGGCTTGTTCAGCCTGGAGAAGAGAAGGTTCTGGGGAGGCCTTAGAGCAGCCTTCCAGTACCTAAATGGGACCTACAAGAAATCTGGAGAGGGGCTTTTTGCAAGGGAATGTAGTGACAGGACAAGCTGAAAAAGGGTAGATTTAGAGTAGATATTAGGAAGAAATTCTTCATTATGAGGGTGGTGAGACACTAGAACAGGTTGCCCCAAGAAATTGCGGTGGCTCCATCCCTGGAAGTGTCCAAGGCCAGGCTGAATGGGGCTTTGAGCAACCTGATCCAGTGGAAGGTGTCGCTGCTATGGCTGTGGGATTGGAACTAGATGATGTTTAAGGTCCTTTCCAACAAAAAACATTCTGTGATTCTACTGTTCTGTGAATCTACTAACAACTGACAAGTGTCGCAGAAGAGAGAACCACGAGTGCCTAAGCCAGTTAGGTTTTTAGGATGAGTGGAGGTTGTACAGTGTTCCACTGCCCAGGACCTAACCCAGCAGCTGGACAAGACAAGGAACCCTCCCTCCACAAAGTAAAGGTCCTGCTCCTATCAAGAGAAAAGGGTTGCACTTACAGAGTCAGAGGAGAGATGTCCATCTGGCCCTACAACACCAATGTCTGTTCCAGCAGTAGCTGAGACTCAAGCTACAGATTTGTGCTATAGATGTACAGTAATTATGACATTTCTTCAAATGCTAGGTACAGCCTTTAGACCTCTTGCTCATCACAGCCACAAATGACAATTAGGTACATGTAAACAAAACAGGAATTGTATGCCCATTTTTACTCCTGAAAACACAATTAGACCAAAAATATCTTATTATTGTCGTGTTTGCTCCAGAAGAGATGACCTCTCCAGTCCTGTGCACAGATTAATAATTCAATATCATACTATGTAAAAGCAACAGGAATACCATACCATTGCAGAAGGTTAGCAACCATTCCTATGAAATTGTTGATCTAATTGAGAACTCAGTCCTTCACACTGCAACTCAGCAATTCAATAGCTTGAATAAAATTTGTTTCCTAGAGCTTGCCAAGATTCCCCAGAGAAAAAGTTCAGGTATCACAAAAATTTTTCTCAACTTTGTCATCTGTCTTGCTGGCATTCTTACTGGAGAGGTTGGGTATTTGACAGGCATGGAAGCAGAACAACTTCACAATCCAAAACAGAAGTCCTGGCTGTATGAGTGAAGTATACTGACATTGGAGTGTGAAGAGAAAATTATAACCATTTTGCACAGATAAAAATCTTCCATTTCTATTCCCCTATTCTTAAAAGTTGCTAATTAAGCCCAAAGTTAAGCTAAGTGCAGTACTCAAAAAATCAATGGTCTAAGTACAGAAACATTTATTCTGCACAAAATATTTGATTCACAGAGAAAGAATATTTAAAGGAAAACACAGGAAGACAGAAAGACTGATAAAATGTCACCACTGATGTTCAAATACAGTGAAACAAGCCTAGCCCACACATAACTGAAATTACATGTTTTAGAGACTAGACTATACACATGCATACTGAGCAGGTGGGCACAGAGAGCAATTACTCCAGCCTTTAAGATAGCAGTAATCTTGATGTCAGTGCTTCTGACCAAGCATTCCTTGAACTCAAAAGCACTCATATGGCATACAAGTGCCTCACACCATGGAGTAATGGCGGTATTAGCAGTTCTCTGGGATGATCTGAATAATGTACTTGTGGTTTCCCCATTTATGATTAATGTTGTGATCCCAAACTATTAATAGCATCTGCTCCACATTGTTTCACACATAAGTATGATCCTATATGTAGACAATTCATCTAGTTATCAGTCAATGGTATCACATGCATGCCATAAACATGTTTTAAAATTAATGCACAGATGTTTAATTACATAAGCAAACAAGCCTTGCTCCCTCCAAAATAAAGGATACCACTGGGTTAATGGAAGCTTTTATTTTTTGACAGATCTTGGTAAACATATCACTAAACAGTTAATTCTAAGTTTTGCTATGTCCTGGTTCACACTGCTTTCTCTTTAATGAAAGAATCTCAGCAGCCAGAGAATTACTCCACTAGGAACGCCGCACACAACAGAGGCTTCAGAGTTCAGCAGAACTGCAATACAAGGCCAAGAAGTCCAGTACCAAATATTCTCCAAAGGCAGAATACAGTTCTTCTTCAGGTAGCAAAAGGTTTCTGTAGTTATTTTTTCAATGATATTTTCCAAGTGCATTCATGTTTTCCATGAACTCCAAGAATGTGAGAGAGATGAAATGTTCTGAATTTGGGCCATTGGAAAGTTAAATATACAAACACCTATACAGAATTTTTTGTCTGGAGATAAGCATGAAGACATTTAGTCAGGTGAAACATAGATAAGAATGCATAGACACATCCCCTTGTTCTTAAATAGGAATCAGTCTAAGCCTAGATTTAATTTGATTGTCAGCAAAAGTAGTCAAGACTTTTTTAAACAGCATTTACAAAGAATGTATTTCAAGGGCTTCCTTAGTGTACTGTTTCCCTTCACATTTCTAATTAGCCATTGCCAGAGCTGTCCGTACATTGTGACTTCACCCCAGATATATACAAGCAAAGATGGGGTACTGTAGCTGATGAATGTCCTAATTTCTTGCAGAGGTGCCAGGCAGAAGAGCATATGCTTCTCAGCACCATTAGAAAAAATTCTGTTTTGTTTTGGTTTGTTTTTCTCTTTTCTAGGAGTACCCTCCTCTTGCTGTCTTCTCAACTTGCGCAGCAACAAATCAGCCCTTCTTCCTTTTTTCTTCTCCTAATTTTTCCATCAGACTACACTAGTCTCCCTCTTGCACATCTGCTTCCATTTTCTTTCATCTTTCTGACTTTTCTTGTTTAAAATGTTGAGAATAACCTTCCTTTACAGGTCCAGAAGACAAAAGACAGCTTCTTCAATACGCATGTAGTAAAAGCCTCTAGACGGTTAGTTAGCTAGTTAGTCATTTTCACAAATAACTTTGAGGGTGTGTCTGCATTACAAGAAAAGTATGTGCTCTAGTTCATGGTCTTGTTCAGGCCTTAAATACACATCTTCAATTTTTACAGTCATATCCTAAAGTAAAGGTATCTCTATCCAATTTTTACAGTCATATCCTAAAGTAAAGGTATCTCTATCCTAGAAAATTTGCATAGCTTTCCTCAGTCCTGTGCTCTATTGGAGGTCAAGGGAGATTTGGTTCCACGTGTGAACGTTCAGAGCCAAAGAGGATCATCTCAGAATGTTGTGATACCATCAGCTTGATCCAGAAATTCCATCACATTTACAGGGTTAAGTTAGTAATTGCAGATTTCTTTGTGGCTTCCAAATCTGATTCTCATGCTGTTTCTAGACTCTCAGTAATCATTACCTTTCCAAGTCTCTAAAATTCCCAGAAGGATCTCAAACATCTCTCTGATTGCATATTGCATCATAAATATGTTCGGTCAACAGAGCTACACACTGAAGAATAATAAAATAACTTCCTTTTGGGGGCTAGTTTGGAAAGATGAGTTCTTCCACAATATCCCACACACAAATACCAAGAAAAAATATTCATGAAAGACTTCTACATGGTACACAACATGAGTCATCCACAGAAGTACCAAACGGATTTGAGCAAACAGAATATGAAGTGCTGTTTGGGGTGTTTTAAACAATCTGTAAAAAGCAGCTTCTCTGTCTCAAATGTACAGGTGATATCCAGAGCCAGCAAGGATCTACTGATAAAGATCAGCCCTCCTGGTTTTCTTTATGCAGTTTCTTCAATACTTAGGGCTTCCCAGTAGGTAGGAGGATCGAAGCATGGCTCTATTACGTGCTGAAGTATTGTAGAGATACAGAAACCTATGATTTTTTTGCTTCTACATGAACAAGAAGAAGGAGCATATCAGAATTATATCCCTTTCAGACACCACATCTTAAGTAATAATTAATGGTGTTATTTCCAGGGCAACTACTTTGAAGGATGTTCCTCAGGCCTGATTTCATTAGAATCTTTGACTTGTCCCTGCTCCCCAGTTCTCCCAGATTAACTGCTGCTAGTATGGTAGTTAGCAAGAGCTAGTTAGTTAATGCCCTAGAGATCAGGACTACACAGAATTTTCTCACTGAAGATATAGGTTTTCTACTTATCTACCAAGTTCATACTTAAAAATCATGCCAGCCAGACCTAAACACTACTATTTGCTGGCTACAGCACAGTATAGCATAGGCTAGGCTATGACCATCTTCTAATATCCAAAAGCCATTTTGTTCACATTCACTATATTTTATTTTTTTCAACCTGATTGCAAGTTCCAAAGCCATACCATATTCAGTATTATCAAACTATGTTTTCCCTTTAAAATATATCTTTTAAAAAGTACCTTTCTCACTGGATGGAAAGATGATTGTTGCAATGTGGTCTCAGGGGAGTGACTGCTGACACTGGCTCCTTCCAGTGACTCTGACAGGGAGGGACTATCAGTTTTGTCAAGAGGAATTACAGGTTTCTGGGCATCAAGTTCAGTGGAACTCTCACAGACCTAGAAATCACAATTAAGAATTTGTGTTTTCAAAATCTCAGAATGAAGAATGTTAATGAATTCACATCAACTCACAGCATACAAAATATTACAAGACTAGGAAGACTCTAAAACTAAAAAGATCTTCAAAGTAACCCTAAACAGAAAGATAAATGAACAGAGAAAGATTTTGAGATTTCCCTTAAAAAACAATGAATTTTAAAAAAAGAAATAAAATAAAATCAATAAAGATGCTGAAATGTACAGCTGTTTCAAAAGCCTGAAGTCTGCCCCTAGAGGTAAACCTCTTTAAGAGCTATTCTCTACAGAATTTACACAACGTGAAGTCCCAGCCACCTTTCCACGGCAATTCCCACTGTTTTGAATGAGTTTCAAAGCCACTTTATTGTGGAACTATAGTGTTTTAAGCCCAGCCAGTAACTCGGAACCACGCAGCTGCTCTCTCACTATCCCCCTTCTTCTTCCACCTTGCAGTTTGGATGTAGCACTGTCCCTTTTTCAAAAGCAGGATTCTTAGCAACAGAGGAAAAAGGGAGAAATTAGCCCTGCTGACGAAACTTTAACCGTAACAGCATGCATGAATATTGATTAAAATCTGAAAGGTCATGATGCAGTAGCAAAAGCAGTTACCAGTAGAATAATTCTTCAATCTCTTTCCACTAGTATTCAGAATCAAAAGGGAATCTATTTCAAGGGCTCAGGGATTAAAATTTCCAGAAAAAGGAGTATTAATGGAGAAACTACTGCAGTCCTCCAGTTACCTATTCAGAAAGGAGGAATGATGATGCTTTTATTCTCCCACCTGCTGCTCATGTTGGCTATTTAGAGATTAAGATCTTTGGGATCCTGGTTGTTTATGCACTTTAAAGCAAATTTTGGTTAAATCTGCATGAGGCATGGAGCCTCTGCTGAATACAAACATAGACAAGACAATAACAGAAAGTTCAACCACATACATGAAATCTCAAAGGCATCTCCCATTTCTGATCTTACATTGGCTAAATGCAATAGGAAAGAACTTTTTGAGAACTTACTTGTGCTTCCTCTTGGATTTGTTGCTGAACTGGGGCTGGCTGCCTCACTATGTAGTTGATTTGACCAACTATGGTCTGTTGAACATGCTGAGGTGGCTTTGCTTCGTTCAGCTGCAAGCTGGGCTGTCCTTGGGCCTGCAGAAGCAGCTCCAAATCCTTTTTCATCTCTTCCAGTTCAAACTGATGATGCATTATGTCCAGGCTCTGCTGGATTACTTGTTTGTGGGTGCTCTCATTCTGACCTGATGGTGGTGATGCTGGTGGCAGCTGCTGCTGCTGTGGTGGCTGCTGCAAGTGGTTAGATTTTATCTTCTGGAGATGACCAAGTTGCACTTGTGCACTTGATGTATGCAAAGAAGCCTGAGTGCAACATGGCTGTGAATGGCTTGTATGTACTTGCTGAGCTTCATGTGATACAACAGCATAACCCATGGGTGCAGTCTGGGATGGTAAGTGCTTTCTTATCCTCCCAGACATATTCTCTTGCTCTGACTGTGACTGCTGTTCCAGCCCAGACTGTGTTAGCTTCACAGGCTGGGGGGCACCCCTTGGCTCTTTGTCATGTTGCTGCATGCTGTAGTGCAGAGGAAAGTGCTGCTGATGCAGTTCGGGAGGCTGCCGAAAATTTTGATGGCGGTTTATGTCTTGATAAGAAGGCAGAGCTTTGTTTGGGTGAGGTATGCTCAGGCAGTGCGAGCAGCACACAGATGTAGGACACTGAATGGCAGGTGGAAACTGATGTGGCTGGCTATTCACAGGCTCCAGCTGTGATCCTGGTGCACGATGCCCATGATACAAGGAGGTCTGTAACCCTTGCACATTTCCACAGAGTAGCACATCTGAGTGAGAAATGTCTCCACCTTCCATAGTGAAGCCCCCTGGAAAAAACAGCACATTTACTCCCTTCCATGGTCTTGACAAATTTACACAATAAAATCTGCAAATGGTGGCTATCTCTTTGTCTTCATTTCAAATATAAAAGGTATTTAAATATCCTATGCAAACAGTCCTTCAACATACTTTCAAGACAAGTTTTCAAGACTTTTCAGGGATTTAAAATCATACAAAACTCTCACTGATACTAGTGGAACTCATAGTTGAATTACCAGCAAATGCTTTGAAAATCTGTCCTCAATTTATTTTATCGTAACTGATCGATACAGCTTATACTTTCATTTTTTTTCTTAAAGTATGGTTTACAAAAAGCATGGGTACAAAAGGCAACTTCCAAGTGACAAAAATAAGATACTGTTATTATGTAGGTGAGAATCATAAAAGCTAGAAATAGAAGTGACCTATGAATGGATCTTGTCCATGCTTTCAGTCAAGAAAATATTATACCTTGTAATATTTTTGACAGGGTTTTACTCAGTCTAATTTTAAGTATCTTAAAATGGGAAGAGAACCAATCTTTTAGATCATTGATTGGACCACCACACTGAATTTACTGTAAAAACCCGCTGCTGTTGGGGAATTTAGAGCTAGGGGGTAACAAAGTCACTATATGCACATTCATTATATAAATAGCATTGTAATTATTATTCAGCAGATGTCTTAAAGCCATCTTTGTGCCCATTAATTGGAAGTGTCTCAAGAACTGCTCAGGTCACTTGGACACTAAGGTACTAAAGGATCCAAGGAACATGGGTATGACTAAGCCCAGCTGCTCACGGGTAAGGAGAAATAGCACAAGATCCACTGCAGACACTCTACTGCAGGCAGGGTACTCCTTAAAGGACTGCCAGAGTGACAGTGTTGTACAGAATTATTGCTTGCTGGGACAGAACTTAATTGCAAATATGCCAGGCAAAGTCAAGGCTGTTTTATAGCCGGTGATGCTACATTTTAAGTAATTTCAGTTAAAAGTTATTTGGTAGTACGGCATGGGGTTTCCACTAAACAAGTAGCTGTGTTCTTACATTGTGATTCTGTAAGACCACCAAAGATGATATTTATACAGTGTATTTCTAGATAATGTTTATAGAGCAGTATTTATGTATGTCTTTTAATAGGTGGATTGATATAACTGGAGGGAAAACCCAGAAAGTTCAGCCACAGTAACTTTTTCTTCAGAACGTGACAAGAGGTACAGAACTGGAAGACAAGACTAAAAAGGTGTGCACTTCAGGGAAAGTACTGTATTGTCTCTATCTGTCTTGTCTAGCTTTAGGCACACGCCTAATAAACAACAATATATTTTCTTACCAAAATTGGACAGTTGTTTAGTCCAGTAGGAAGAATCCCAAGTAAATCTGATCTTCAGAGGAGGGTCTGTGTCTGTATTACAATTTGTCTCTAACAAGCGCTGGATTTGAAATACAATCTGGTGACAAGTCAAAAGACAATTATTTTATTCCCAATTATAATATCATAAAAAAACATTTTATTTGAGAAACATTAAGTCCTTAAAGTTTTCACATTATTGCACAATTTCAAATAAGAAAATAAGTATTGCTCTTACCAGTTCTTTACTGAAGAGAAATGGGATGCTGTTTTTACTGCACACTGCCCAGCTGATGAAGTTCTGCACACGTTCTACCTGTCTGCTTAAAAGCACAACACCTTGCAGTTGTTGCTCCAATTTCTGCTTCCTTTCACTGGTGATATTCTGTTTGTAATGTGAATCAGTGGAAGATGGCTGTCATTCTTCAGACACACGTAATATACACAATCACTGGCGCTACATTATGCATTATTTAGAGATGCAAACCACCTTAAACCATCAATCAAAAAAAAAGAAAGCAAATCCTATTTAACAGACATCTGAATTCAGGAAGATTGACTTTTCCAGGAGCAAGCAACCTACATCGTTCTGGCTCTGGTTTAACAGAATGAGGTAACCCAAGAAAGCTATCTTGTCTGCTACGATACACAACAGAAGAGACCCAAGAAAATACATAAAAAGAGGGGAAGCATACAGCTTTTCCTCAGAAGAGTCTTCCAGTCTCCAGCAATTCATGACTTAGGGACCACAAAGACAGAGGCTATGTTAACATCCTCAGTGCATTTTTCTATGAATTTGCCTCATTAATTTTGAACCCATGCACACTTATTTACCACTTGTGTGAAGAACTATCTGCCCTTATTTGATTTGAAATCAGGACTTCCTGATTTCATTTAATACCCCTCCCTACACGCACTTCAATACAGCCCTATGTACATGCACTTTAAGTGCGGGCACAGTTGTGTTGCAGTTATAGATACCTCAAACACTGAAATGTTGTCAAACCACATGAACCCTGAATTTACTTAATGTTCAATAACACAGAAATGAAAACATACATTTCTCTTTTTCGTAAAGCTACTTAGCTGAATACCAATATTTGAATCAAATACACTAATTCAAAGGCCGCCAGCAAGTGTTGAGTGCTTTGTCTTTGCAATACCTGCTAAAATTACCCAAGAATAACTGACAACTGGAAGTTCTGATCAGATCCAATAGCAATCACTGTACTCAGCACATTTCAAAATAAAATCATATGGACTTCAACTGGACATCCCAAAACTGAAGACTCAAAACTTCAGGTTCTGTTACAGAAAGTAGACCAAAGGATTATTTTTGAAACAGGATGTTAAATGTGCTGCTATTGATTCTACAAATGAATCATTAAAACCAGAAGCAGGCTTGGTTTGTAAGTACTCAAAAGCTGCACACATATTGTCTGTAATTGCATTAGAAAATGTGGTTAATTCATGATAATTAAACATTTTGATGCTTCATCCTGAATCTTTGTCAACCATCGATTCCACATAAAATTCTGCAGGGAAAAAAAATAAAACCAAAAAACAAACAAAAACAAACCCTAAGAAAAGGGACAATAACTCTCACAGTCCATATTCTTTCCATCAGCACTGGGTTTAAATTCAATTTAGTTTAATTTCCCAAGTTATCAAAGGACATAGCCTTACTTACTTCAAGTTGTTCAAGAAGGTTGTTTGTTCGTTTATTGATTTCATTCATCAAAACCATCTTGGCCGCTTTTATCTGATTTCCTACCCTTTTGTATAAGTGTTTTACTTCAAGCAACCTATGGGTAAGAGATGCACATCTCTGGATGAGCCAACTGTATGTCATTTATTCAGAGCTTAGTAGTTGCTAGAAGAACTGATCTAACCATTGACAGAGAACTCCAGTGAAAGTCATAACATTTCCTTTAAGTTTTCCCACACTTCAAACATAGAATAGTTTGGGTTAGAAGGGACCTTAAAAGGCCATCTAGTCCAACCCCCCTGCAATGAGCAGGGACATCTTCAGCTAGAGCAGATTGGTCAGAGCCTCTTTCAACCTGACCTTGAATGTTTCCAGGGATGAGGCATCTACCACCTCCCTGGGTAACCTGTTCCAGTTTTTCACCACCCTCACTGTAAAAATTTTCTTCCTCATAAATAGTTTAAATCTACCTTCTTTCAGTTTAAAACCATTATCCCCTGTCATATTGCAACACACCCTACTAAAAGTTTGTTCCCATCTTTCTTAGAAGCCCCCTATAAGTATTGAAAGGCCACAATAAGGTTTCCCCAGAGCCTTCTTTTCTCCAGGCTAAACAAACCCAAATCTGCCAAACTGTCCTCATAGGACAGGTGCTTCATCTCTCTGATCATATTTTGTGCGCCTCCTCTGGACCCCCTCCAGCAGATTCATGTCTTTTCCTGTGCTGAGGACTCCAGAGCTGAATGCAGAAGTAGGGTCTCACAGGAGCAGAGTAGAGTGTCAGAAACACCTCCCTTGACCTGCTGGCCACACTGCTTTTGATGCAGCCCAGGATATGGTTGGCTTTCTGGAACGGGCATGCACATTGCCAGTGAATGTCCAGTTTTTCATCTCCCAGTATCCCCAAGTCCTTCTCAACAAGGCTGTCCTCAATCCCTTCATCCCCCAGTCTGTATTGATACCAGAGATTGCCTCTACCCAAATGCAGGACTTTGCACTTGGCCTTGTTGAACCTCATGAGGTTCACATGAGCCCACTTCTCAAGCTTGTCCAGGTCCCTTTGGATGGCATCCCATCCCTCAGGCTGTCACCCACACCACTCAGCAGTTGTCTGCAAACTTGCTGCAAATGCACTCTATCCCACTCTCTACATTGTTGATGAAAATATTAAACAGTATTGGTCCCAAAACAGACCCCTGAGGTACACCACTTGTGATTTGTACTCTTTCAAGGTGTTTCAAATGGTTTTATTACTGCAGAAGAGAGATCCAACAGCCAACATATAATCAGTAGCTGAAATCCAGTTAATATAATGAAATATTTTCATTTTTATACTACTCTTGACTGGAATTGCAGCTTCTTTGGAGGTTTCTTGAAGAAAATAAGGTATTTTTAAATTAGTCTTTATTTATAATCTTTTCAAATTCTAGTTCAGGAATAGATTATACAAAGAAATGTTAACTCTGAAGATTTCAGCTCTCACATGCCTTGTAAAGACTGGAATCATGTATTACAATGTCATGACTTGTCAGTACCACTTAAATACGAATTTGACATTTCTAATCTTCCTATTATTTCATAGCCTCCAAGTAAAAAAAAAAAGACCAACTAAAAAATCTGCATTTTCTTTTGTTAACCTGCATTTAGTGAAAATATTTTAACTGATCACTCACTTTCATGGAAAAATAATGCATAGCAATCACCTGTCTTCAATCTGTTTAGCTGAAACCTGAATCCCATTTTTTTTCTCTTCCACTTCAGTGATGACATTTTCCAGGATAACTCTCTGATTTTGCAAAGCTTCATCAAGATGCCTGAACCTGAGAAAGAAATGGAAATTCTCATGCTGTGGATTGTTTTTTTTTCTGTTGATAAGTAATGAACTGATCAGTTGATGAGTTTAAGGGACCAACTGCCCTAATACCTCTCTGGTCATGGTCCCTGCTTCTTTCCTACTACAAATCTTTTCTGTGACAGCTGAAATTTATAGTCCCTCACACAGGCAGGCTCATCTCACAAAAAGTGTCTCTATGCACAGACAATTCTGTACATGGCTTACACACTTCCACAGGCAAGCAGCATGCTCAAACTTTGGTAACTCTGGAGTTGTACAGTCATGATGTCTTTGATAAAGACAAACAGAAGTACTTGAACAGTGCAAAGCACTGAGTTAATTTTGAGCCTTTGAACAGAATCACAATGAATTATATGCATGCATAGATAGCATCTGGGCAGACGATACAATTGGGAAGGTACACACTGCAGAGAGCAGTGAATGATTCTGTGAGGGCAGTAAGCCACATGTTACACTGCTTGGGCATAAGAGAACTGAACTGAGTTTGCTGTGGCTTTTAAGTTTGAACTAGCCTGCAAGCGTAGTTGGCAGGAAATGGACAGCCTTAAATCTAAACTAGCTACAGTTTTAGATAGCATTATGATTAAACAATCAATGTGTTGTACCTGTGTTCCTTATGCTCTATCAGAAGGCAGTTACGGCATGTGAGGGTATCGCAGGTCTCACAAAACAGCTCGAGTGGCTCTTGAGTGTGCACTGGACAAAATAAGGAAAGCTCACTTGCTTCATCGTCAGTTGCTGAGGAATATAAAGCAGAGTTGTCACTGACAAAAATTATTATTATAGATTAAAAAAAGACTTGTCAAACTCTCACAATCCTATTGAAAGTCTTGATGTTACTCTTAAAAGACCCATACCCTGGAACTATCTGATTATATTAGCAGGGTTTGCTTAAATTTTTTTTCCTGGCCTTATATATTCTACAAAGAGCATACCAAAGGGGTTCAGGAAGAAGTTGTCAAACCAAATTCCTGTTTTTCTCTAAAGTCTCATGAGTTTTAAATATCTCTCATGATTTGGGGCACTTGTCTCACAACTTTGAATTACCTGGTTTGGCAAATCAGTTAACAAAGCTGTATTTTAAAATGTAGAAAACCAAATCTATTGAAAAAAAATGTAGTCACAGCAGAAGCAAGACTATCCTTTGCTCTTGAATAGTCACATAAGCAACTGTTTTTCAAATGTGTGTTTGTTGTAAATGCACTACATAAACTTCAGCAGCTAGGGGATATTGATACCAGGCACTAAAGCCTGTTCCACTCCAAAGAGTAATATGAGGAACAGTAAGAACAAACAGTGTGTCCTGGGTTCAGCAGTAGCAGTCATGTTTCTCCTCCTTGGTAGCTGGTGCAGTGCAGTGTTTTGACTTTCGGCTCGGGAACAGAGCTGATAGAGATGTTTTGGTTTGGCCAAGGACTTTGTGAGCCTCATGCTCTGCCAGGGAGGAGGGGAAGCTGGGAGGAAGCAGAGACAGGACACCTGACCCAAACTGACCAAAGAGCTATTCCATACCACAGCACGTCATGCCCAGGATGTAACTGGGAGTTAGCCGGAAGGCTGGGAGACTGCAGGGTTGGAGGAGGTATCGGTCGGAGCTTGGTCGGGCTTGGGGGGCGAGTTATCGGTCAGCGGGTGGTGAGGTGTTGTATTCTGTTCCCTTGTTATTTCCTTTATCATTATTATCATTGGTGGTAGCAGTAGTGATTTGTGTTATACCTTAGTTACTAAACTGTTCTTATCTCAACCCGTGGGAGTTGCATTCTTTTGATTCTCCTCTCCGTCCCTCCGGGAGCAGGGGGAGGGCAAGAAAGGGGGGGGGGAAGTGAGCGAACGAATTACCTGACTGGGTTTAAACCACGACACAGTGGATACATAAAGTGGAAGTATTGCCATGCTCTAAAGAAAATATACCAAATTTCCTACTGTCTAGATTGCTGTCTACTCTAAATATTTCTGAGATAATAGAGTTACTCCCTCTAGTTCAACTGGCTTTCCCCTCTGCCTTCTTAACATAATGTGCAAGAAAATAATTTGTGATAGATTAGGCCAAGATCTTTATGTAACATCATGACATACTTCACATGGTCATAAATCATTTATTACAGTATTTATGCTTTATTGCAATATTGCATGCTTTATTCTTCATGGAAGTTTATTGGTTTATATTATTATTGAATCAAATGCTAATAGGATTATTAAAAGAGGAAATTGAGCAGATGGGTTTTTCTTTCCCCCTCCAATATTTTTTTCTATCAAGGTACAAATGAAACTCACCTCAACAGCCATTTTTTTTATTATAGTACTGCAAATATGTACTTTTGCATTCAAACCTGCTGCTGCCAATGCAAATAATATGTAACCAAGCAGGTTGTCTAACCAATGTATAACCAAGGTGGATGTCAAAGATCATTTTTTCCTCCCCTATGGGGGTCAGATGTTGTATCTTAAAAGAAAAAGAAAAGGCCCATAATAACTCTCTCCATTTCCACGAGTTGGAAAAGCCCTTCTGAGTGTTTAGCACCTCCAGAGCATGCAAGCTGTTTTATTGAAAACTCGGGATCAAATTATCCATATTAAACTCCAATTTATAATGAGATAATGTCTTTAAGGTCCAAGTATAATGAAACCTAGTCACAATCCTATATAATGATTTCACCATTTTTCTCTCTCTGAAGGGTTCTTTAGCGTTTGGGTGATTAGAATCACCCCAGAGAAATCAGTTGGTTTTTTTAGTACCATGTCAGATTTAAGAGACAAGCAGATTAGGGGGATTGGACTAGATGATCTTTCGAGGTCCCTTCCAATCTCTAGCATACTGTGATTTCAAATGCAAATTGAGGATAAAAATCAATGATATCTAATTACAACATAGACCCACAGCCTCTGCCACGTGTAATTCCCCGATTCAATTGACATATCAGTGAGAACTGCAACTAAGTCATGGTTTTCTCAACCTAATTTATACTCAGCCCAGAGCTACACTCTTCAGCTTTAAAATAAGCTGAATTCTTACCAATCAGATGCTAAACAAAGGCACAAGACTGCTTTTAATAGCAGATATCTTGACCACAGCTATCCCTGTTAATGTCTTTAAAAGAATCTCACTGAAGAACAGGAAAAATTCAGTAGTCCTAAATTCTGAATTAATATCATTTGAGTCACCATCTTCAACAGTATTTTCTTTATCTCAGGTGGATCTCTTGAATATCTGACAGAAAGTTTGAAATCCCTGTTCCTATGATCAGTTGATGTAAACTTTGGAAAAGCAATCACATCTTGGCTAATAGAGTCCTCCCTCACCTTGTATAATTTGCAGTGACTCAAACTTTGATTTGATGAGTTCATACTCAACCTTGAGAGACTGAAAAAGATAGTATAGAAAAGAAAAAAATATTTATTTTGTGCACTAGCCTATAAATAGCTGGTATGTCAGCACCAGATCATTTACTTCTGACAAAGTTTTGGCAAAAGGATTGTTTCTACTCAGTTGCAAAGCACAAATTTCCACTTAACAAGGAAAGAGTCTGTACTAATACTGAATGTCCTTTTAAAAAAGTTTGGACTAAAGGAAGAAGTTCTGGGTTTATGACTTCAAGCAGCTTCATTGCTCTGCAGAACTTTGAAATTAACACAGTTCACTAATTCCTACCGCTAATGCAGAGCTTATTCCTCCAAGGCTGCAGCTTAATCTGTCATAAAACTCTGGCACATGCTCTCAACACCTCAGTGCTCAGCAAATTCACTCCAAAAGCAGATTTCACTATTTTTGCATCTTGTGGTCACCGATACAGAAAGTTTTCAGGAAGTTTTTTTCGGTTGTCTTTAAAAAACAAAACAAAACAAAACAAAATAAAAAAAGAACAACCAAAAAAAAATAAAAACAAAACAAACGCAAACAAACACAAACTGTCAGGAAAAATCGGTGTCTGAAAACATGTAAATAGTGCAGTTTAACTCATGTGTGAACCACATTTTAGCATCTCTTCATATTCATAACCAGCAGTAATAGTCTGGCACAAGAGAACTGGAATTTTTTGATAGTACCTCCAGAAGCGGTTCAGCTAGGAAGAATACACTAGAGCAACTATACAAGACCTAAATATTAGTGGGGAATTGGGGAAGGTGGGAAGAGATCAAAGTGATGTCCAGTTTGTGCTATTTGTCTGGATTTATGCTTACAAAATAAGATCTGGCTTTAGATGTAGGAGTTCAGTAGCAGTTTTTAACTGAACTGTGACACAGACCATGCCCATAACTCCTCATTCTGGTTCTCAATAAGCATGTTCAAAATGCTGAAATCTTCTAACCAGCACAACCTTCCCCAAGCTACCAGATGCTACAGAACACAATGGAGGTGAATAAAATACAGCTGTTTCCAAACAAGAATGAAGCCATTTCCAGTAACAATGACACCTCACAGTGAATCCCCTACCAGTAGTATTCATTTTGTGGGCCTTTACTACAGACTCATCAAAGGATGAATCAGTAGGAAAAAGAAATCAGGATACTTAAAAACTGTTTTCTTTTTTTACAATATGGCATTTTTCTGCGCTAGCCTAGTCCTGCTCCTCCCCACACTCTCAATTTCTAAATATAAATTTGAATGAAGGCTAAAGGTCTCAACAAATCACAAGAACTTGGCACTCTGCTCTGCACCATAACCTCAGGAATCACCAGGCTAAAGGTGCTGCCTGACAGTGAGCTCAGACATTCAGCTGTGTGAGCTGGGTCTCACCCAGTGGGCAGCAGATGGCCAGAAGCAAGAGGATTTGCAGAGCAAATGGATGGGGAACTGTGACAGGGCTGCAGGCCTCGCGTGGCAAGGGGGTGATCAGATGTGTTACACAGAGCACAGGTGCCACAAAGGAAAAAGTAAGAAAGGGGTCTCAGGGAAGCCAGGCTCTTTTAGTTCTGCCAGTCAAGGAAGGAATTGTTTATCAAAAGTAAAAGGAATAGGCAGGATTCAATGCATTTGGGGGGAGGGGGGGAGAGGCTAAATGAGAAAGCAGTTTGTGTGCGTGCAACTTTCTCTTTATACAGCACACACAAACCCACAACTAAGCCACAGGTATATTTTCTTACCATTATTTGTTAACAATATGAGCTGGTAATCAAAGTGAAATTACTAACAGTTAGAGCCTCAAAACCAGACCTTATCTTGCGACCAACTTGAAAAGAAAACATATTTGTCCACCCAATCAGTGCATTTGATGGAGGACTTGGGGGAACTTGAGTTTATATTATTCTCTAGAAAGCACCCATAAAAAATTTTAAATGTCATCTGTGCTTTGTTGTTATTGCTATTCTTACAGACCTTTTTCTTTGTTTACACTTTGGTAACAGCACATCATGTCTCAAGTGCCTCAAACTCTTTGATATGAACACCAAGGACTTAAAAGAACTCCATCTATGGCAACATACAGGCTTCTACAAGCAAAATCCTAAAGAAAAAAATAATATAAAAAAGCATAATCAGTAGGCTACAACTGTGTTTATTAGTTGTTCTGTCCTCCATCTTCCTTATGAGGAATGATAGTGTAGCACAAACCCTATAGCACAAATAATGTCATATGTGAGCAAAGTGTAAACTTAACTAATTGTATAAAATTGAAAAACTCTTATTTTAGATTAAAAATCCTTATATAAGTTTAGGTTGGCATACTCCTCAGCAGATTTGGGGCATATAACTAAAGAAAATAATAAGCAGTAACAGAAAATCATAATCTTTCGTGTGGCTTATAATTTTATAGGGATGAGACATATTTGACAGGGGGCTTCATTTGTGCCTGCTGATGTCAATATAGTGGTCATGCTTAGGAAACATGTTTTTCACTCCAGGCTTAGAAAAAGAACATCCTATAGTGATCACAGCCTTTCACTGTTTGTTACACTCCCTCCTATACCTTGTCCATTTGCACAGGAATTGTCTTACCGTAGTTTTCTCAAGGAATTTACTCAAAAGAGGACAAGGAGTACTGACAGGCAATGCCTGTTGCTTTTGTAGCCTACCAAACCATAGTCCATCACTCTGCAGACATAAAAGGCATGTGGAAACACATATATGCAAAACTTTTTAAATACTGTGGAATGCTGATTGTGGCAATGGCCCTGAAGTTGCAGAAAAATCACATAATCTCCATCAACATATACATATCCTTCCGAGTCACATGCAAAAAGCATGGTATCTATGACACAGAGCCTGCAACTGCCCCTTTTTCAACTGAATAACTGATATGAGAAGAAACAAAATTTCAAGGTGCATCTTCAGTACCTGTGCAGCCCTTGAGGGATACGGACAGGAAGCGGACTCCAGTTTCCCTGCTATGTCTGTGTTCCTCTGTACATGAGCTGCACAACCACTTATTGCAGCTTGTACAGAGACTGTGAGCAGGTCTCTTCTCTTTACATGTGGAGCAGCTCTAAGGACAAAAGAGCAGTTACATTCAAGGATTACAAATCAGGCATACAAACTTAATAGAAACATAGAATCACAGAACAGTTATGGTTGCAAAGGACCTTAAGATCATTAAGTTTCAACCCCCCTGCCATGGGCAGGGACACCACACACTAGACCGTGTCACCCAAGACTGTGTCCAACCTGGCCTTGAACACTGCCAGGGATAGAGCACCCACAACTTCCTTGAGCAGCCTGTTCCAGTGCCTCGCCACCCTCACAGTAAAGAACTTCTTCTTTATACCTAACCTGAACTTCCCCTGTTTAAGTTTGAACTCACTAACCCTTGTCCTATCTCTACAGTCACTGATAAAAAGTCCCTCTCCAGCATCCCTATAGACCCCCTTGAGATACTGGAAGGCTGCTATGAGGTCTCCACACAGCCTTCTCTTCTCCAGGCTGAACAGCCCCAACTTTCTCAGCCTGTCTTCATATGGGAGGTGCTCCAGTCCCCTGATCATCCTCGTGGCCCTCCTCTGGCCTTGGTCTAACAGTTCCATGTCCTTTTTATGCTGAGGACACCAGAACTGCACACAATACTCCAAGTGAGGTCTCACGAGAGCAGAGTAAAGGGGCAGGATCACCTCCTTCGACCTGCTGGTCATGTTCCTTTTGATGCAGCCTAGGATATGGTTGGCTTTCTGGGCTGCGAGCACATACTGAAGCCGACTCATGTTCATTTTCTCATCGACCAACACCCCCAAGTCCTTCTCTGCAGGGCTGCTCTGAATCTCTTCTTTGCCCAACCTGTAGCTGTGCCTGGGATTGCCTCGATGCAGGTGCAGGACCTTGCACTTGGCTTGGTTGAACTTCATGGGGTTGGCACTGGCCCACCTCACAAGTGTGTCAAGGTCCCTCTGGACAGCATCCCTTCCCTTCAGTGTATCAACCGAACCACATAATTTAGTGTCGTTGGTAAGCTTGCTGAGGGTCTTCCTCAGATTAATGCAAGTCAAAGAAGATTTTAAGAGTCTGGTTATTGTAAAAGGGAACAGGATAAAATTAAGGCTTGAAGTTCTTAAATTGGTTGTCCTTCTGTGCTCTAGCACAATCCAGTATAATTATGCTTGAATTATTCAGCAAAATTCTAGGGTCCATGTTACATGTGATGTCAGAAGAAATAATCATAATGACTTGTTTCTTGTCAATTGAAAAGCCATGAAGCAGAAATAAAACTTGTCTGATTTCAGTTAAGGATGGTTAGGTTCAAAGTTACTTTTGAAAATGAGTGGTATGCTTTGTAATCACTTTCTGTTAGTGTACTACTTACTGATAGCTTTAACACATCAAATGAGTGTACGCTTTACTTTTATATATATATGTACATATATTTAGATAGATAATTTCTACCTTAGAATAGATAATCTAGGTTACCAAGTAAATATGTGAAATGTTAGTCAAATATATCCCATGAAAAATGGTTCTGATCTAACTACCATTTCCTTTTTAATCACATTATCCAAAAGCATTTTACTATATCATTTCTTTGTCATTAATTTGTCTCTTACTAATTACTATTTTTCTGTTAGTAATTATTTTATTATCTATTAGTTTATATTATTTATTATTATTGTTTATATTATTTATTATTTAATTTAAAAAATCTATAGAAGCTACTTCTGCTTTCATTTAGATGAACGCATATCAGAGCTACTTCAGCAGAGCTACTGTAAATCTACATTTTTTATTTAAAATTAGAGCTTAATCTAAAGCTATTTCCTTTAGCATTGCATGAACCACTCTGATACAGTGTAACTGTCAGAAAAAATACATAAAGCATGCCAGTGGTAAGGCGATTTAGAAAACAATACGGGGACACCCACATACTATTAATGAAAAACTTAGTTCATATTCTCTAAGGAGCTGACCAGAAATGAGCTCAATTTATACCTTGATATCACGTGGTGAACTGGAAAATATAAGACATGGGAACATGAGAAGAACTGTAAAACTTAATTAACTATCATCTCTATTGATTCAACAATTTAGGAAATGCCCTTTGATATACAGACCATGCTGTCTGTAAGTGTCACTAAAGGAGAAATTAATAAAGCTGCACCTAAATGAAGCGGGTAATTTGATCTTTGATATCCAGACTGATCTTATTTCAAGATAGCTGTAATGATACTTCTTCTAAAAAGGATTTGTACTAGACTTAAAACCCCTTGTTTGAAAACTCCCAACTTTTATGTTTTTGACTTACCATAGCCACAAATAGGCACTAATGGGCAGACTGAATATAGTGATACAATTTTACCATCATAGAATCATAGAAGCTTTGCCACCACTTTATTGAACTCAAACATTTCCTATAGAGTTACAATATATCTACTGTACTTATACATAGTTCCTGAATATTGCTACTACTCAGAGTGACTCAAGCAACTAGTAATAGATGATAAAATCAATTCCTAGGTGTCCTTTCTGTTGGGTATCAGCTTATCTACCTTTCAGTTCGTTTATGATTGCATACCAGATGGGAAACATGAAGAGAAGGGCATAGCAGCATGCACTCAGTACATAAACCCTGAAGCAAGCCCTGGTGAAAATAATCTTCGTGGTGTCTCAGAGAACAGAAAGCCTGAGGAAAGAACAATCACAGCTCCTTGCTGGTTGTCTTAGTTTTAAATGATGGCTTTAACATTAAATAGAACATCTACATCCACCTAAACTCCAAGAGGCAAGTGAGTGGAATTCTAATTCACTGCAGCACAAAAAGAAAAATTTTTGTACTGCTGAAATTAAATTTTACCATTCCCTTCCGTGGGGCTGGAATTTCATAGCATTTTTCAAGAGTTTCAAAGTATTCCCAATCTTTTTAAAGAGATGGGGCAATTCTTGACAATAAGACAACAAAGCAAAGTTTTAAATGTATTTGATTGTCAGGGCAGGGAAGTACTTGTATAAGCTGTTCTGCTGGATTAGCTATTTGCTTATCAACAATGTTTTTCCAAAGGTATGCATAATAATTTAAACCAAAAAGCCTAACATAACTTATATAACCAAAATGCAAGGGTATTTCTTTTGGGAAACAAGGCTTGTATATAAAAAGACGTGTGTAATTTAAAACGTACCCTAGGGAACAGGTCAAAAGTTGAGGGATACTCTGCCTTCTGCAATAATCAAAACTGCTTAATCACAGGTTTACCTGTACTGTTCCAGTGTCAATCTGACTAGAACTTATACTGGTGCTGTACTGTGTTAACATTACTTTTAAGTTCCAGAGCACAGTGTTCCCAGAGTTACGTTATTTATGAAATGGAAATGGGCTTTTGGGCAAGAGATTCTGAACTGCATATTTTTGAAACTTCTGCTGCTGGTATATAGCACATTCTATCATTTATGCTTCACTATCTCACACTCTGAGAATCGTCTTGCTTCCAAACACTTTGTTACAAGCCTTGACAGATTCCCATTTGAACAGATTAGGTAAATTAAGAAAATTATGGCTGTTCAGCTGGTCTCAATTGGATGAGCTAGTGCTTCTCCTTTTGATACCACTGATGGTAAACTAGGGCTTTGCTTCTGGATGGGGATGGTGCTTAAAAGACAGTAAGTAAGTTTCACGGTTCCACAACTTGACTGTTAATAAAAAGGAAGTAAGCCAAAAACTATGAGGAAGGTTCATGTGTCCCTCTAGGGTACTCCTACACTTCAGTGAGAAATCTGCTTTACCGGGCTGCTCTTAGGAATCCCAAGGGACTACAGAAAAGAAAAACATTTTCAAGAAGGCTTGAAAAATAATCTAGTGCTCTTGAAGACATTAGATATTCCCATCTGATTTCCTTTCTACACAAATCCTCACTGAAAGGTAAATGATGTGATTCATGGTAATTAAGAAATCCCAGTATAAGTGCATTCTAAACATTTGCAATATCTTATCAATATTCTTATTCACTCTTAAGAGTGAATGTAAATAAACCTTTTCAGGTTTTAGATGAAGTTATGTTGCACTCTCCAAGCACCTTACACCTGAAGATGTCAACATGCTTTTCTTGCATTAATTTTTTAACTTTCCCAGAGGACTCCATGGATTAGGTTACCCATTCTCTTCTTTTTAACAGTGGAAGAAAACAAAATACAGAAACGATTGACAGGGAAGAAGTACATCCCTTCCATATGTTTTTGCAATGATACCACTGGGAAACTACTTGCACAATTTAAAGCAGTCTCAACCCCTCTGTGTCGGGCAGAATGGACCCAAAAATTGTTGCTGCCCCTACAGGAGTTAAAAGGAGTGGAAAGACATATCCTCTGACCTACATTATGGAAGAAGTGTTTCCCTCCACCAAAAGGCCCTGAAATTGAATATCCAGCGTGGCTGGTTATTCAGTTTACTCAGGAATCGAAAGTGCAAAAGAGATAGTCTGAGGTCCAGAAGCTGATTCAGAAGGTGAAGTCCAGTATCCCTGCTCCTTTGTTATTCTTCCCTTGCTTTGAATCACACTTTGGATAGTCAGCAGATTACAGAATAGTTTTGACGAGCTTTTACCCGTTTCAACTACCAGCTACATGTAATAGTATCACATTCTCAAATCAGTTTTACTATGCAAATAATACTGGTTTGTAACAAAAGAGGCAGAAATACACACCATTCTCCATCCTTTCTCATAACCCAAAATTGTAACTACTAAAAAACTGTGAGAATAGTCCTGCCTGTTAACTGGATATTTAACAGAAGGGAAATCAATCTATATACAGTGTTAATATAAGGCCAAAGTAGTAACCTATGCCTTTCAGTTACCCTTCACATCCATTCCCCCATGGGAAACTGAAATAAGGTGTGACTTTTTTTATCAGTAAAACAGGCAAACAGAAAATTATAATTGCCCACAGAATCTAATGGGTAATCTTGGTGTAACTGTTCAGCCAATAGCCTGCTTCTGTTGACTTTGTGTTGAGGGCAAGAAAGGAAACAACAAAGAATCCAAGAAATTCAGTACCTTCCTGATACATTGATTGTCACAGGTCCTATACCACTAGTATCAATATTGTTAATAGATTTAAAATAAAGTATATATAGTCAAACTCATTCTTCAAATATAGGTTAAAAAAGTACTAAAGAAGTCCATCTCTAGGAGTGAAGTAATTACAGTGCTGCATAAGTGAACTGTAGGAAAGTCTGTTGTTCAATGCAAAGTTTGCTCTGTTTTCAAACAGTGTTCATCTTGCAGTGTTTTCACAATGCACAAGGCATCCAACTTAGTGGTTTTCACTTACCTTTGCCATAGCTGAATTAGTAGTGGGAAAGTCCTTGAGAAAGAAATTTTCAACTACATCCCTTGCAAAGCAGGTCTGTTTGCACACAGGGCAAGAAAGGATACCTAAATTTTTAGAAAAAACCAAAACCAACACAAATAAAACAATGCACACAAGCCATGTGAACCCAGAAATTATATAAACCACCCTTCAGTATTGCTGGCTTTTTTACATCACACTGACACACAGTTCCAGGAAAATAAGTCATTCTTCAAGCCAGAAGTTACATGTAGCTATATGCCGTGGTTTAAACCCAGTCAGGCAACTTGTTCACTCACTCCCAGTGAGTGGTGCCGGGCTGACAACAATCGAGGCCCCCCACCACCACCACCACCGGGGCTCTCCCCTTCCCCGCTCCTGGAGGAATGGGGAGGAGGATCGAAAGGATGCAACTCCCACGGGTTGAGACAAGAACAGTCCAGCAACCAATGTACAACACAAATCACCACCGCTACCACCAACTACAACAATGATAAGAGAAAATAACAAGGGAAGAGAATACGATACCACCGGCCAAGAAACGAGTCCCACCCGGAAGCCCCTGTCCTTCCAGGTAACTCCCAGTTACCCCCCACCCCAGGCATGACGTCCTGTGGTATGGAATACCTCTTTGGTTAGCCTGGGTCAGGCACCCTGTCTCTGCTTCCTCACAGCTTCCCCTCCTCCCTGGCAGAGCATGAGCCTCACAAAGTCCTTGGTCAGGGTAAACATCACTTAGCAACAACCAAAAACATCGGTTTCACCAACATTGCTCCCAGGCTGGAAATCAAAACACAGCACTGCACCAGCTGCCACAAAGGAGAAACATGACTGCTACTGCTGAACCCAGGACACTATATCTAGTTCAATACATAGAAAGAAAAACAAAGCAACAAAATCCTTAGAAATACACTATAGTCCAGTTGCTTTATTTCATCATTTATCAATATCTGCATGTCCAAATTCCCATGAATTCATAGGGGCTTACAGCTTTGATAAAATCTGAGCCACACTTTAAACTGTTACGGATCTACTTGTGCTTTCTAATACTTGCTACAGTTCTTCTAGACCAGAGGTATATCAAAGCATAAAACACACATTGCACAGTTTTACATACACACATACTACTTTTACAGTGCAGCATGCTATTCAAGTGAAGTGAAAGAGGAGTAACATGCTGCTGGCAAAAGCAATGAATTAGAGTAAAGGTAAAGAATTAAAAAGTTTGATAAATAAAAGTCAGAATTGCAAACCAACTATTACAACAAATCCACAAGTGACAAAACATGATCACCCCTAAAGCAAAGTGAAGCAAAGCAAATCAAGCAGTATGGCAGCAAAATCTGGCTTCACCTTCTGTAGCCACTGAGCACAGGTGGAGTGAATCTTAGTGTTTGCCTGCGCTAAGAGCTTAAGAACTAACAGTTGAGGAAGGTGTCCATAACTGCATACCTGCATTTTTGCATGGCTATTTCATTCTTGGGCTAGGACTTAACATTTTTATACAAGGTCTAGTACTTTTTTCTTTTTTAAAAAAAAAAAGGAATATGCATGTTTCTGACCACATTTCTGAAGCTACTGTAGATGAAGATGTGAATCCAGTCCTTTAGAGATGCTAGTGGTGTATCAGTCCATTTGTACCTTATCTTATCAAGTCTTTTTTTAATCTAAGATTTCTCCATTCTGTTGAGACCAGAACTGCAGTGCTATGTTCGCCTTGTCAAGAGATCTCTTTATGATAACTAACAGCAGTATTTTCCACAGCAAAATGATACAAACTTATTTAAAGTAAGATTTTTAAAAGCAAAATTAATCACAACTTTCTACTGGACTGTTCAATATGCTCTTTTCCTTAATTAAAATTATTTTTAAATAAGGAGAGTGGCCTGTAGATTAACTAAATCTTAAGATGTCTATTACTTCACATTAGGCAGTTATTGGAGACACTCTCGTTTCACAGGTGCTTAGTATTACCTCTGCCTTGGGACACGGCTCCTGAAGTCCCTGGCCAGGTGCACAGTTCTAACCCTCAATGGCTGCCATTTTCAGACCTGGGCTACTGTTATTTTAACAGCAGCACTTTACATTGCCAGAGACACACAAGCCCCAAACCGTTCCTACGTTATCTATCTCTTCTGACAAATGCACTATGCAGTCAGATATCTGAATGCATACACTTTCATCATGAATATTTTGCATAAGCTTTGAGTTCTGTTACATCTCCTTTGAAAGGACATCTTACTAAAAAACACTTCCATGACATTTATGTCTTTTTTAGCTCAAAACTCATTATAAAAGCAAAAGTATATTGTTTATTATTTTTTGAGATTTTACATTTACAACAGATTTTACATTTACAACAGATCTGTGATTTGAGGGCCCAAGTGGCAGACTATGGCTTACTCACACTTGTTTAACAGTGCATTTCATACAACTCCGAGTGTTCATGTAGATGTGAGAGGGAACAGGAAGTATCAACAGGTGCCTGTGCTACTCAGCTACAAGACACCCCAAGGGAAAGGGCAATGCAAGCAATTGCCAGAGCTTTGCTCATCTTCTGGGCACGTAACTTGAGTCTTGTTTAAGTGTGTTCTGGTGACAGGAGTACAAAGAGGCTAAAAAATCATCTGATAAAGATGCCATGATGGCAGAAAGCTGTCGAAGTCTTTTAAACTCTTCCTCTACTTTGCATCCTTATTATAAGGAGCACAGCTGAAAAAGTTGTCTTATTTACCTACAGTATTTGTAGCTAATCACCTTCATATGTTACATCCTAGGACAATACAATGCTTTTATATTAGTCACATGGAAACCTCTCCATGATTTCCCAAATTATGGTTATGTATGTCTTTTAGAAATCCATTAACAGTGCAGTTCTCTAGAGAAATGTAAAAACAGTAGCTAAGACAAATCATGTTATACAGACAGTGCCCTCCTACTTCTTGTAAATGGAGCATACTACAAGCACCAGTGAATTATAGCGTTAATTCCTAGAAGGTAAAGCGGTTCTCAAGTTTCCCTGTGAACACCTTACAAAGCCATACAGTTATAAAAGCAGCACAAATAAAAAGACAGATACATTCTGACTGATAATCTAGCAAGCAAAATACTTACTTTGCAAGCAGTTTCTCAAATAAGTCTCATGGGACATGCTCTAGTTCCTAGTGCAGTCAATAGGAAACCATCTACTGACTTTACAGGGAATCGCCTCTAGCCCTTTGAGATTTCAAACCAGTTTCTTACTCTCATAACAGCACTGCCCAAGCAGTGCCATTCTTGATTTGCCTAACAGAGAGAGAAATCCTCCATACTGAGACTACATAATAACACTTCAAATTGACCAAAGGGTAAATTATTGAAAGGTTACATTCTGAAGTAAGAAATGCATGACTCAGTTATTTCTTCGCCTACTTGCCATATGGGTGAGCACACAGTCTTACACAAAATATTTCTGGGAACAGGTGCTTACAGGAGACAAAAGCAGTGCTCAGGACTTTGCCATAGCAATGACAACTTCTGTCTGCATACCACATAAGGTAAAAAAGTTACTACTACATTCTAACACTACTCAGTTAGTGCAGAATGTTAAATCAAATTATACCAATTGAATGATATTTAATGGAAATGTTCATGGCCTTAGGCAGGTTCATGTGAACTTTAAATTCTGCTAATTTGTTACAAACTAATGGAGTATAAAATTCATTGTATAAAGAATGCATTAATTTGACAACAGCAGAGATCATTGAATCATAGAATCATAGAAGAGTTAGGGTTGGAAAGGACCTTAAGATTATCTCGCTCCAACCCCCCTGCCATGGGCAGGGACACCTCACACTAAGCCATGTCACCCTAAACTCTGCCCAACCTGGCCTTAAATGCTGCCAGGGATGGGGCATTCACAACATCTTTGGGCAACCCATTCCAGTGCCTCACCACCCTCACAGTAAAGAACTTCTTCCTTATATCTAACCTAAATTTCCCATTTAATTTTAAACCCATTCTCCCTTGTCCTGTCATTATAGTCCCTAATGAAGAGTTCCTCTCCAGCATCCCTGTAGGCCCACTTCAGATAATGGAAGGCTGCTAAGTAACTGTGAATTATAATAGCTTTCAAACTGAAATGAACATAAGACATGTATAGCCTTCAGCTTAAAAAAAAAATCCAAACAAAGAGCATAACAATTAATAGGAAAAATAATGGAGACACCACGGTAATATTGCATTGAAAGCAGTCCTCTGCTTGTAGGAGGACTGATCAGTAAGCACCCTCTCACCTGTCCTTACTGAATTTTATATTTAAGACTTTATTAAAAGCACAGGAGATGGATTTGAATCTTGCTAAAAGAGGGATTCCCTGAATGTGGTAGCTTTGGAGATCATACTTGTTCAGCTAATTGGGCTTCTTAGTTGATTGTTTTCCATTTAACAAAAACCTCTGCTCCCTGGAAATTCCCAACCTTTTTCAATATAAATTCCCAAAAGAATCTAATGATACCTTGGCATAATAAATACACTACAGAATGGATTGTGAAGCAATTATCCTGAAATTAAGCAAAGCGTACATACACCTTTACAAATAGCCACAAGCAGTAACTAGGTCAACAACACAAAGCAAGCACACCATGCCATGCTCATGCTCAGAGTGCAAATCACCAATAAAGACAATGATGTCCTCAAAGCTCCTTACCTGTCCTCTGGATAAAGTCAGAGAGCTACGCACAGAGTCACTTGTGTCAGAGAGTGGGTGGTTATTAAGCAGACCAGCACACACGGCACACTTCCTGGATTCAGGCTTTGCTGTACTGCTGATTGAAGTCTCTACACCTTTCCTGGACTATGTGGGGCTGCTCCCCTTTTTTAAGCCAGAAATGCTGACAAATCAGCAGCACAGAAAGATGTACTGGGCCACTATAAGGTGCACTTTTTTTTGCACTTGCCTCTCAGATTCACTCAGGCTTGCATTAATTTGCCTTCGTTGTATTTTTCCTGAAGTGGTGGAATAAAAATTCCACAGTGGGAATGAATTGCAGCATCTTCCTTCTTGCCTTGGTCCTCTCTCAGTCTTCAGAATTACCTGCAGCAAGTG